TTTGTTTTTCGTTCATTATTTTGTACATAAATTGGGCCGTTAGTTTTCTCTTTTGAATTGCTTTACATTAATTTTGTCATTTCGGCGCCCTTCATAGCTGACTATGTGGTATGGGCTTTGCTCATTGTTGATGGCCGAACGGTGACCTATAGTTATTAATTTCTGTTTCATTTGGTCTCTTGTGGAGAGTTGTCTAATTGGCAATCATCCCACATCTTCTTATGTTTATAATTATAGAACATATCAGTAGTCATCTCGTATATGTCATAACGGTCAACCAACTCTTTTAACAGATCCCTAGAGATAATAACAGCATTACGCGTTGCAATACATATTGAATTTACAGGTAGTTGCATTATTTTAAAAATGCCATATTGATGTGTACTCAATAACTATATCACCGTCTCGATAATAATACTGCGCACTTTATAATTGTCTATCTAAAAGATTTAGGAAAACCTTGCTCTTGATAATGATCCGAATGAACAAGTAGGTTATTTATTGGCAATATCAAATTACAGGAAGATCATAACAATAACAAGGCATTTAACGTTTAGTGCAACATAACATAATTACTAGATCAATTAAAATTCATTTAAATTATGTACAAGTGGTAGCAAGGTTCGGGAAAAATAAACAATATTCATAGTCATATGTGTTACATGACATTTCTCATTGAAACGTTGGTTTAAATTCTAATGTGGTTATACATGGTATATATTTTATATACTATTGCTTCCTAAATTCAAGGCGAATATGCTCATTTTGTATTGTTCTTTTATATATTATGATCTGTTGTTTATACGAGGTGACATTTCATTACCGATGTAAAAATCTTACTTATCTAATTATAATATCCAAATGAATAATGACAAAACAGAAGGGAATCACATGAACTCTTTACCGAACACAATCGGCAAATTTAGAGATAGATTAAAGCAACAGTAGTTTATCGATGTTCAAATCTCGTTAATCGATAAAGAACAGACAAATCAAGGTAACACACAACTAGAGGCTCTCAGGAGCCTGTGTCGCTCACCTGTATCTACCGTGGTTTTGGGAATCATGTAAAATAAGGTTAAAATGATAAAGGATAGTATTAGATACCCCAATGATGATTGACACCAAGTTCGGTTTAATTTCGCCCAGTAGTTAAATTAAAAACAGGTCATCCCCTTGTAGTCTTACAATAGTTACTGAAGACCTCTTATCATTATTTAAATTAGTTTTCAAGTTGTCGCCATTTGAAATTGTTTTTTTTTTACAATTTTCCCACAGACTTCTTTAGTAAAACCCTATGTTCTATTTTTATCCATGGCGGCCATCTTGGTTAATGGGCAGGGTCATCGGATAGAATTTTTATACTAGATACCATAAGGATGACTTAGGCTAAGTTTGGGCTAATTTTGTAGTTTCAGAGGAGAAGATTTTTGTAAAAGATTACAACAATTTACGAAAAATTGTGAAAAATTGACTTTAAAAAACTCCTTATGGGGTCAGTTGACAATGTTAGTCATGTTGACTTATTTGTAGATCTTACTTTGCTGAACAATTTTGCAGTTTCAGTTTATGTCTATCTATTATAATATTCAAGTTAATAACCAAAAACTTCCTTAAAATTAACAATTCAGAGGCAGCAACCCAAAAACGAGTTGTCTGATGTGTCTGACAATTTCATGGTAGATAGATCGTGACCCGATGAACATTTTAACTCCGTCAGATTTGCTCTAATTGCCGTAGTTTCAGAGATATGAGCCAAAAAAAATTGCTCAAATGTTCTTTGTTGAGCCATGGCGGCCATCTTGGTTGATGGGCTGTGTCATCGGATACATTTTTAAAACTAGATACCCTAAGGATGATTTAGGCCAAGTTTGGTTTTATTTGGTCCAGTAGTTTCAGAGGAGAAGATTTTTGTAAAAGTTAACGGACGACGACGACGACAACGGACGACGACGACGACGACGGACGACGGACGCCAAGTCATGAGGAAAACTCACTTGACCCTTTGGGTCAGGTTAGCTAAAAAATCATGTATCTAAGACTAAAATACGAAACAGCACGCATCCAACATCCAATGTTTTTAGTGTAAAGACGTCTTGAAAAGTCAGAGAAAAACACGACCTTGTGCAACGCCAAAATATAGGTATCCAAAGATTGAAGTACTGTGAATGTGCTTATACATATAACAATAATATTTAGTATGATTTCAATCAATATGTATCAAGTTTTTTATGATATATATAAGGATCATTTGGTGAAACTGTACAAAGAAGTAAGCGAGAATTTTAACTTTTTTGTTCAGCAATTATTATTATTTTTTTTTTTTTTTTTTGCAAAACAAACTTGCCCCAAGGTGAATAGGATGTGTAGACTACCAACTTGAATGCAATCGTAATCAAACAGTTAGTACTTCGTTGCAGTTTTGGTGATGTAATGTTTGCAGTTACCCTTGTTTATCAAACGAGTCTTGTTGTTGTCTTTGTTCAACCTGTCATAAGTCGCGTTAACGTATATCCATTTTGAATTACATAATTTCGCACGAGCACGGACATTAACGATATACTATTTGATAACATTGAAGTGAGCGAGAATTTTAACACTTTTTTGTTCAGCAATAATTTTTATCTTTTTTGGGGGGTAAAACAAACGTGCCTCAAGGTGAATAGTATGTGTAGACCACCAACTTGAATGCAATTGTAATCAAAAACTTCTTTGCAGTTTTGCTGATGTAATGTTTACAGTTACCCTTGTTTATCAAACGAGTCTTGTTGTTGTCTTGGTTCAACCTGTCACGTATATTCATTTTGAACTACATAATTTCGCACAACATCAACGATATAAAAATTTGATAGCAGATGATAATACATACTAAAATGATATCATGAATCACAAACATTACTTGACATTAAAACAGATCCATCATCCACCAAAACCTGGCTCCACAAAAAGCAATTACTGACATGCAAACATAGACAGGTAACAACAAACAACACACGGTCCGGTTAGCCGGATTGGTACAGACACAAAATATGGTATTTTTTATCAAGTTTAATGTGAGCACAGCGCTCCAACTTATCAAAACTGTATGTCGGAAAACTAGACCAAACTAGCCAAAGCCTGTAAAATGTAGCGAAAAACAATATATCAGCTAACAAGAACCAAGGAATAAAAAGGCGCATATTTTTTTAAATAGGTGTAAAAATGTGCTCGCTTTTACAAGAAGCTAACTATGGTATCCGCAGAAGTTGTTAAGATACCTGGGATAAAGGAAACGATGAGAATCAGAAAAAAGTCAAATAACCAAAATACCGAACTCCGAGGAAAATTCTAAATGGAAAGTCCCTAAGCAAATGGCAAAATCAAAAGCTCAAGCACATCACAAAAATGGATAACAACTGTCATATTCCTGTCTTGGTACAGACATTTTCTTATGTAGAAAATAGTTGTTATAACCTGGTTTTATAGCTAGCTAAACCTCTCACTTAAATGACAGTCGCATAAAATTCAACTAAATTGACAACGATCTGTGAACAAAACAAACAGACATAATAGGAAAAAATGTCAAAATTACGGGTACAGCCGTCACCATATTGTTAAAATATTAATCACTATAAAAACAAGCAAATAATTCAACAAAGATAAACAAAAAGCATACAGACAAAGCACATTAGAAAAAACGAAAGACACGAATGCAATAATTTGCGATAGCACAATAACACAATGACGGGTTGTATAAGTAACGAGCCACGTCAAATGGATATTGCCAAAATAAGACTAAACAGAAAAAGTAATAATTTACAAAGACAAATAAAAGAATACTATAACGCGTTATTAAGATGATAAACAACGTCAGTGTCTATAATCCTTACTTCAGGACCATCGTGTATTATTTGTGAAGTTGATACGGAATATTTATTATCAAGGTCTTGGTATCTTCCGATGATTTTCTAATTTTCATTAGAAAATGGACGAGACGTTCTTTGACATACTCCTGGTTCATCAACATTCTGCTCAGACACTGGTGACGTTTTACAAAGTCTGAGTAGCAGCTGCAAGCTCTTGAATACCGAATGAGTTGGGAAATGTTGAGAAACCACACTCAAATAGGTTTTATGAAGCCTCATCAAATGATTTAATGATAATCAGCAGTAGTTGTGAGAGGTCAGTAAATATTTATTATTTTCTAAATTCCCTTCGTTGAAACGGTCATAAATAACTTATGTCCTAGTACAATTGCTAGTATACAACTAGATGCTTACAGAAAGACAACTCTAGCTAGAATAGAATTACATGTTATTACATTACGTCTCATTAAAACTGTTTCCAAACACGTAATATATATATGTATACAATATTGGCAATTGTTTAACCTTATATACGTATGCATGTTTTAGCTAGTTCTGAAAATAACTATTTCTAATTGGTTTCTGCGCAAATAATTTGATAATTTGGTTGTGCCGTTTCTTACAACGAAATTGTCAAAATTTCAATCTTCGAGAAGTAAATTAAGAGAACATTCTCTAACAGATTTGTAAAAAAAAAACTATCAGGGAAATTGTTGAAATTTTATACGTTTTAAACAGCGTCCATTTGAACATTTCCCTGTATATAGCTATATCAAATGTAATAGTCTTAACAAGTTGCTAAACCAAATGTCAATAGTGCTTTGAAATGAAAATTATACACTCTTAATAACAGGTTGATAACCCTTACCTCAAGACTTTTATGAAATAAAAATTGAATACACGTAAGAGCCTCTAGTTGTTCTCGTTGTCATTGTCATTCTTTATTTTGAAATAGCAATATAAGTATGCTGCTTTATATTTTTCGTTAATCGTTATTTTAAGAAATTCAAGTTTAAACTGTAAATGCTGTTTCGGTGAAGCTTGGAATATATAACAATTTAATATTGATATCATGAAAGTTAGGTTACACAGAGACACTTGGACCGGGAAAATACATAATGAGGTCTTAATAAACATAGCAAATGAATTTCCTCAAAAAATTCTAATGTTTTATATTCAAAGAGACATCAAGCCACTATAATTATAAAACCAAAAATGAAATTCAGATATACATTCAAAATGCAAGTGTCTATAACACATATCTGATTATCAATTATTCATTGTTTTTTTTCCATTGCATTACAAACATACTGCCTTGGGATAAAGGTGTTAGGGGAGATAAACACACGAGTGAAAAATTATGACCCAAGACGAAGTTGCGGGTGATAACTACACACCTTCATCCAAGGGCAGTATGTTTTTTTATTATTATATTGAATGCCTTATGGTTCAAGTTTGCACTATGTTATTAGAAGGACAATTGTAAAAAATAATGTCATATATTAAGATAGATTACTAATAACTGTAATGACTTTAATTGCGCTTAACACAACGTTATACTTTTACAACTATAAGAAAATTTCTTATTATCACATTAAAATGATAATAATGATGTCAATAAAAAAGAAAAAAAATGTTAACGATTACAAAAATATTATACTATGATTAATAATATGCATACCATTGACAAATGATTAAGAATATATTAACATAATTGTGTTTCTTAATAAAAGTTTTCAATATTTGAAATTTATATATCATATGAATGAGTGTCTGGATGGGGATCCTTCTTTTTCTTTATTCTTTAATTCTAATGTCATTATTCTCTATTCGTTACATATCAGTATCATATTATTTTGTTCTTTATTTGCATGCCTTTTATTCTACACTTTGTGCCCATTATTTGCTATTTGATAAACCATCAAGACCCTCATGAATGGATGTGGCATAGTTCATTTAATGTCTAATAAATAAATCTGTTATAAGAGGACCAAATTTTAGTTGCTTTTTAAGTCTTATTGAATATCACTTATTTCCAATTCTAAGCCATGTGGAAAATGTGTATCTCGTGGTGGTTGACTTTTAAAGTCACATTTCAAAGTCATAAAGTCATCATAAAATAGTTGTTTTGAGGAGTAATCCTTTTTCATAGGAAAATCCTTTACTGCCTTTCTATTCAGATTATCGACCTTCATGGCATTCAGCTTTGGTTTTACACCTTTACGGTAAACGACTATCACAAATGTCAATGTTGCCAGCAAACAGGCCACAACTATTCCTGCTATGACACCTACAGCTATCTGTTCCTGTAAATGTATTTAAATAATTGTACTCCTTAGTGAGTATGTGTTTGTTGTTATGACTAACATTTGATTTATCATTATTTTTTTTCAAATGGCATCTTACAATTAGTAAGGTACTGTAAAGAGGTATATTTTAACGTTTCGTTTCTTAAATTGGGATGTTAAGCTAGTTATAAAACCATGTTTAGCCCACCATTTTCTCCTGAAAATGCCTGTACCATGTCAGGAATGTTACAGATGTTTCGTTTCGATGGTTAATGTAGTCAAAGGTTGATTTTGTCAGTTTTAATGGACTTCTTATTTTCGAATTTACCTTAGAATTCGGTATTTTTGTTCGAACATTCCTTATTACAAAGACCAAACCTGTTCGCTTTGTTTTATTTTCGCTTTTACTTTGTCTATGATACTAGTCAATAATAAAGAACACAATTACACGAGGGGGGGGGGGGGGGGATATTTTCGCGATATTAATTTTTTTCCCACTTGAGTTTTAGATATCGTATTGAACGTATTTCTGTTAATATGATTGATCAATACAAGAAATGGGTGAAAAATTAACATCCTGTGGTATACATTATATCAAGATATCAGAACGATAACCTGTTATATGAAATAAGCACAATCATATCCTATTTGATACTAGATCGACACGCTGAGTGGAATTTTAAGGTGCTAGCTAATACGGAAACAATCCAAAAAAAAATTGTTCTAACTCCGAAAAAACTAATCATTGTTGTATTCCTGAAAGATGCGTGCTTTAGAAGTGGCAAATACCATCTTTATATAAAGCCTTTGGTACCACTCAGCTGGAGTTCAATTCTCAACATCCGAACCAGAGAGAGCGATATCCCTGAAGATGTGTTCTGTAGATATGTTAAAAACAATTTAAAGTAAAACAATTCATTGACTTACAGCTGTCGACAATACAGATTTAGAATCATCTATATAGATTACATCTCCGAGGAAGAAATGACATCTGACAAAATTATTATTTTTGTCAATTACAGTTAGGTATGTCGATGGTGTACAACAGGTGCCGCTGAAATATATTTTTCATATTTTAAACCTTGGAAATTCGAAACTATTTGTAAATTGGATGAAAAATATATGTGTATACATATTACAAATAAACAATCAAATAAATTGTTTTAAACATCAAATGTTTGCCTCAGACAAAATGACATGACAATAAGGAAAGATTGAAGCAACTATGAAAATTTGGTGTACATCAACGTCCTGCGCGTACTGTCGACGCTAAAATTTGTGTTATAAGCACAGGTCTTATTTTAAAGTCACGTTTGACAATTCTGATATTTTGTTGCAAAATATTTGGACCTGCTTCTAAATAATAAGAAGCACAAAAGATCCAAAAGTGAGAGGTGTAAGCTAAAATTACAATTTAAACATTACAGTGAAATTCAGAAATTGTTGTGTACATTTATTATTGCGATATTTGAAGAATGTACACAAATACGAGATTAATTATTGCGATGTCAGGAAATTCTGTATACATATATATGTATCAGATACCAGAATGCTAGTTCTTATTTTTGCAATAATCACCAAGTTGCATTATTCCCATTAATAAAAACCTCATTATAGTTTCTGAATTTACAGTACTAACCTCACAGATACCACTGATGGAGATGATAATAAACTGCTCGTGTCTACATTCATACCATTAGATCCCGTGACAGACAGGAGATCTGTAGTAAATGTTATTGTTGCTTGACCAGTCCATGTACTGTCCAAACAAGTACCGTTACCATAGTTGTTGTCACAATGTCCATTCAAAGTGTCAACACTGCACGTCGGTGGAATATCTGGACTTATCTTAGAAGACAATAGTCAATGCGAATGTTAAAACAAACATAGTAATTACTTTAAATTCAAAATTTGGTTCGGATATAGATTAATGTAAAATATTTTAATATTTTATTTGTGACCGTCATATAATGTCAATCTAATTTCAAAAATATAATAGAATATATAAGTTTAAACCATTGAAACAAAATTAAATCATACAAAAAGCATGAAAAGACCAATGCATATCAAGGTTCAGACATAGAAGAGTATCTATACAGCTTGTCTAGATACGATTGTCCCCAATTGTGTATGATTTATTTTATTTTGCTTGTTTGACGTCACGTTACTAAATATTCAGGACGAAAACAATTTAAAAATGAATACAATGGTATGTGTATGTTCTGCGACCGGGATGAAGGACTGTAAATGGACGGCAACTGGCAAATGAGGATGTGTAAGATCTCCCCGACAACAGACCACCTACACTCCACCAATAGTTGTTATAAGGGTTCTTTAAAGCATGAACAACAAACAATGAACTCAGTTAAGATACTTACATATAATGTTTTACTTTCTTTTTGGAGTGTATTTGTTGAGCCAGATCTCGTTACAGAAATAGTATATGTCCTGGACAAAAAATACAAATTTCATATTACATATGCTTTATGGTAAGGATACCATATATATATAATCCTTAGATTTGTAAAAAGACCTATTAGTATTCTTTCTGTATATCCACATATATACACCTTGGATAATTATGAGACAACTTTTATTTAAAAGCAATAGTAATCTATTCAATAATACACGTTTTGTTTTGTCATGTACAATTGAAATCCTTTTCACTAATAAATAAGTTCCAGTTTGTTGGTATTAAAGTCTTTTTAGTGTGTAAGACTTTGTGTTTCATAATAAAAGAAGAGTGTGATATTGAATTTGAATGAAATTAAATAAAGAAAGATGTGCACATAACTACGGGTTGTATGATGAACTACTACCACAGTATGTTTGTATGGGACGAAAGGTTACCAACAAGTATAAAAGCAACGGTTATCGGAAATGAATAAATTTCATACGGAAATATGCAGTTAATTAAGCTGCATGAGAGGTGTACTGCATTTCTTTGTTCAAAGTAGTGAGAGATCAATGGAAGAATAAATAGACAGATACACAAAGAGGAGGCTTGTAAACAGGCAAAACTGGTTTAACACAATTACATTCTCATCTATATCAAGTCAGGCTAACTGGACAATGTATTCGTCTTTGTTTGTATGATAGTATTTCCGGAGGAGTAATCGTTGGTGGTTTATGCAGTCTGTTGTACTAGACGGAATTGTTTTTGCGATTCCTGTTCCTTTTTCAATTATTAGACTTACACAGTGCTAAAGGAACTTGAACCCTGTAACTGAAATATGATTTCTGAAGATTCATTACTGGCAATGGTTTCTTCAAAATATGTCTGGCCTGTCAACAATCCTCTGTTGTCCACAAGTGTAGCTGTAAATGTTTCGTTTGTTGTTCCTTTGTTTTCAAGAATGTAGGACACATTTTGAAACGTATTTATATACAGGTCTGTAAATGTAAATTTGTTGTACAAAATGTTGAAAAACTAGAATTGATAAAATGCTGGTCGAAAGAATTTAGCCTGTAACTCAATAGTTGTCGTTTGTTACTGTATATCTTATTTGATTTTAAATTGTTAATTCTATATCATTTGGTCTCTGTTGGATACTTATCTCATTGACAATCATAACAGATCTTCTTAATTTTATATTGAATAAAACAAAATATATTCGATATCACTGTTCTGTTTTCCATAAATCATAAATTTTTATTTACGTCTTTTTAAATATCGCTGTTACAACTGGTAGTGTTTCAAAGTAATACAATTATCAAACAGGCCTATGTAAATCTTAACAGAGGGGTAAAACCAGTGCTTTATAATGTTAACTATATAGTATTTAGCTGCATATTGGTTGGTTTTTTTTCTTATGTTAAAAGTCACATGATACATACCTGGAGTTGAAGAAAGGGTAAGTCTGACATTTACTGGCGATATCGTGTAAGGTGAAGTTCTCATCCATGTAGTCCCATTGTCGTCTGTTCCATGGATACTGATTTGATATAACTGAATGATGATGAAATAAGTACTAATAAAATTCGTTGTCTATAATTGAATGAGGTTCATGCGATACAAATGTGCTTATATGTTTTGTTGTGTGCATGTACTGATTTTGTGTCATGGATGGATACCCCATATCCTTGGTTTTTCTATCATATCATATTTAGTTAGCTTGAGTTGGTCTCGCATTTTGGCGTATAAATTGCACCTCCTTTTATTCAGAATCAATATACGTAAGACGACTTTTAAAGCATGAAAAAGGATGGATTTTCTAAAACTGCGTGAATATAATATTACACAGGGTTCCAGGGCAGATATGTAAATAAACAGCAATATATAGAAGCTATCAGAACGTTGAAAGCTGTAAGTACGAAACTGAAAGAGGATGTAACAAAATTCAAAATCAGTGACCATATCTGAGTTTAAGATCAAATATTCAGATTAAAGGATAATTCATTAATGGTTGATGTGAATTGGTACTAAACAAGAATATCAAAATATTATAGGATTAAACACAATTTTCATGGAGGTTTATTTTCCGGTTATTAATGAGCAAACTGAACCGATGTACCAACAAACGGAATGATGACTTTTATTTAGTTTGAGAATGCATCGACCATTTTTCTAATCAATGTGTTTAAATCATATAATACTCAACCAATGTATTTGTTGTAAAGCAAAATTTCATCTTTATTGGAACCCAAGCATTCCATTAATGTGTATCTAGCATGAATATAGCACAGTGAAATTGAAACCATGTATACAAAGGAAATAAAAGAGGTCCAAAAACATTGTTTATCGAAGTGAAATTAAGCAAAGCAATTATATCGGATCAATCACATTCAAATTTTTGTAGAACTATCAATTTGTAAATTCCTTTACCTCTGATATTAGAAGAGCAGTAGTAAAATACGTTGAATCAAAATCTGATGGCATTTGTGTTAAATTGAAAAGGTTTTTACTTCCAGAACCTTCTGTAAGTAGTATTGTAGTGACTGTTGCATTCTCTGGTAAGTTATATACAGTTAGAAAGATTGTATATGTTTCGCCTGCAACGAAAAGGTTTCTAGAGTGTTTCATCTGAAAGTACTTTGCTATTCAAAGGTCATATATTCAAATCATCTTTTCTATATGTTTGTGTTGTTCAAGCTTCGGACAGAGTTTTTGCTCAATCATATTAATTTGGATATTGTGTGTATTTCCAGACTTATTATTGATATAGAATCCTATTTGCAGTATGCATTTGATAATTTTCAAAGGCCATAAATTTCATTCAATATCTTTTCGAGGACAAAGACTGTATGTAAAGAGATCTGGCTCGACAAATAAACTTCAAGTAGAAAGCAAAAACATCATATGTATGTATTTGTACTGAGAACAGTTTTGGTTTTTTTTGCGTTACATAACCCTTATAACAACACTTTGATGGATCATAGTTGGTCTGTGTTGTAAGAAAAATCAAACTTATTCTCTGATTCTGCTTTTTGTTAATAATAACGAATTTCATTTATCATTTAATTTTAAAGTGATACAATCTTAGGATAAGGAAATAGTGTCATATCAACTGAATATGTCACATAAATTTCAATATGATTTCTATCGTTACGGTTTAGGTACAATATAGCTGGGGGAATGACAAGGAGATATAAACAAATACGACATAACAAACCTATAATAGGATTTCCTAATACTTTGTACAAATACCCATCACCGGCTTCTTTCGTAATGGTATAATCAAAATCATTTGCTGACTGAGCAGTTATGTTAACACTCCAGTGGTTGTTTCCTGTTCTTGACAAAGTGTACATACCAGGAGTTGGACTCTTAATACATAAAAATAAAAAGATTGTTTTTATTTACTCATTTGATAACAAATCATATTCATGGATATCACGGTAACATGTAGACAATATTTTTTTTCAGAGTTCAGATGTTTAGAGGAAAATATGGAGAAGATTCTAAGAATGGCAAAATAAATCAGTCGAACAATAGGAAACTACGAACTAAATTAGGCACCGGTGGTATACTCGGGTGTTTCAGAAGATTAAGCTCTTCATTATATATAGTATCTTTCTTAGCTTTACAACCAGAATAAAGAATAGTAAGCATTTAGTGAAGGACTTTGGATGTTACAGAAAATATAAGTAAAACAGGAACTCGTTAGTTATAGCTAATGAGCATATTCTGAATAATTCGTTAATTATGGTTTAATTTAAAATGGTGTTTGCTAATTTCAATCACAATCATTTGTATATAGTCAAGATAGAATTAACAGAAAACTGAAATTATTTAACGTTACTTCTTACTATTTTTATCAAGTGTATAAATATAAATTGTTATTGCTTAACGTTGTTTCAATTCACAAAGACATGTCTATCGATAGAAAATTTATTCAAGGAAGCTAATCAAAAGATGTCTGTAACAGGTAAAGAACACGTCATGTGTTCGAGCGCTTTACAGACACAAGCAATTCATGTTGTCGTCTACTCCTTTTCAATAACATTAACGGTACCAATTTTACTGCACCAGATGCACATTTCGACAATAAATGTCTCTTCAGTGATGCTCTAGGCCAAAATATTTTAAAATCCAAAACTTATAAATTGAATAGCTGATAAAGCACAAATGCCAAAGAACTATAGCTGAAGCCTCATATTTGTCATTTCCATTATTTTCTTGGGTAAATCCAACACAAATGCCGATGCTAAATTGTGAATTCGTTTGCAAACCAAGTGAAAATAAATGTCAAAAGTTAATTGCACTTTATTTTAACTGTTCATCAACATGATCAAATATGGGCAACAGTAGTTAACTGATTTTCAAATCGCATATACATTGTATATAAATCGATAAACACGGAATAGATAATAGGTATGTCAAACCTCGTAAAATGATAGTTAGTTTACGGAATTAAAGGTAATAAATATGCAATAGTAGCATTTTATAGACCGTCCCAAAATGTTTTCAGGCATCTATTGAAATTCTTTTGATTTTGAATTTATTTATTACAAACTTATTTTACATATTGAGGATTATGTACATTAGATTCTTACCGCAACTGTAACAACTACTTTGTTTGGGCTTTCAAATAAAACTTGTGTACTTGAACTCGTCAACACTGATCCTGGAAAAAGTATGCAATTTATGATTATAATAAAACAAAATAATATTTAACCTACAATTTATAACTATTCAAATCGGAAGAATAATTATTTAATATGAAATTGAATTGATATGCTTATTCACCTCATTCAGTCAGCAACTATGTCTTTATTTTATGTTTTTTGTTACAAAAGACAAACATTCATATAGTTATTTAAACTGTACAGTGATCGATCTGCAAAACATAATAATCTTTGGTAATCTTAAATTGAAATAGTGTTGGCGAAATCAGGTAAACGTCCATTGGATAGTAACCTTACACCATAATGTAAAAAACAAATAAAAATTGTTTTGTAATATTCAAAATCTCAGTACGAAAATTTTAAGCACAGAATGTTCACCGGTTGCTAAGAAAAAGTAGAGTTTCACCTAGTTTGTTGATTGATCCAAATTCAGTTACAATATAACATACCAAGAGGGGAGTGCACGTCAACTTCAGCGGTAGAAGCGGCTCCAAGTACAGTTACTTTCATATTAGTTATCATATTGTCAACGGGAAAGGTTACAAAATCATCTGTAGTAGTATCGAGATTAAAAACATTAATCACAGCTGTTGCTGATGGTAAGAGATCCTAAAAAATAATTCGGTTAACTAACAAAAAAGTTTTAATATAACTTTCGGTTAGCTGCTCATAATCAAAACCATTTCCAACAAAGTTATAAGAAAGCAGGCCTGAAATCGACATTTCATATGTTCCAAAGATTATTGTTATCATTCTGTTTGCAATGTCAGTTTATTGTATGTACTCAAACAACAAAAGAAGTATGATTGAAAAAAAACTTTCTTTTGATATTGACAACACTCATTTACAATTGGAAGACACTTTCAAGTAATATTTAACCACAACATGTCAATTGTCAGATGACACATAGAAACATTGTATCGCTCAACCAAATCGTTATTGTGCGGGATAACATATATATATATGTATATATATATGTATTCAATCGTATGATAGCGTTCTTCAACTGTGTTGTTAAGATTCATCAATATCCGTCAGCGGAGGAGATTCCTGTATAAGCCAAGAAAGTTATTTTGGTGGTAGAAATAAGTTCATGGTTTTAAATGTTTATCGCATGCCACTTTTTGTGAAGAATACTAAATTCGGAGCCTGCATTTCAAATGATTTTAAGAAATATATTTCCTTACAAACAAAATATTTCATAAACATGCAGAAAGAGAATCCTATGACATCGAGTAACAAGCACGCTATAATTTATATATCAGTCTGTAAATAAACGTTGAACTTTTGTCGCCTTTTAATATCATATACTTCCTACCTGTGTGATATGTTTCATTACGTCAGCTATTTCTGATGTACTAATCTGGTAAACTTTTCCGCCTGTAGCCTCGGCTATTGCATAATACACAGCAGATCCTGTTTCTCGCTTCCATCGACCTTGATAAATAAATAAGTTATGGCTATATAACTATGGTAAACGTATTTTATGTGAACCATTTTCATCGTTTTAATGTTATTGGATGTTTGAACATACCGTGCTGAATTCATAACTGAATGACCAATTCTAATAAAATTGAGAATGGAAATGGGGAATGTGTCAAAGAGACAACAAACCGACCATAGAACAGACAACAGCAGAAGGTCACCAACAGGTCTTCAATGCAGCGAGAAATTCCCGCACCCGGAGGCGTCCTTCAGCTGGCCTACCTGTGTGATATGTTTTGATCTGATTATGCTTAAGACGGTGATTTTTAACATTGTCCACATGGTTTAATTAGCACCTGATATTGAATGTGAACATGCATATAACATGATCATATCATATACCTGCAATAAACTGTAAATCAATAACAATAAAATCTCCTTATATTTTATGTCAATTCAAAACTCAACCGGTTTCATTTTATGTCGATCACCATCATTCATAGACAAAAATACAGCAGTGTACAGCCCAAAACATCAATCACCAATACCTGACTCCTTCCAAAAACCAAAAATACAAAGTAAATACAAACAACAACGAAAAACACATGGTTAAGGTAACCTGACTCAATACAGGCATAAATTGTGGTGGGGTTAAACCAATAATTTGCGTTTGAACACCCCATCACTTTTGCATATTCTGACTAAATGTTGTAAAACTAAACCAGGCAATGACAATTTTGCACAGTGCCGTTACCAATAGAGTGAAAACTTGAACAGCAAATAAAAAATGAGCACATAGCTGGAAAACAGGGTCAAAATGTGTTTGCAAATAAAAGAAGGTAGCAGATGTATCTACAGTTATTTCGTTGTTCAGTGGTTTAGTTTATGTAACGACATTGCAATACCATGTATTTTGAGAAAAATCGTCTAATATTATTTTTTTCCGAGAAGATGCTCATACCTACTGTAAACTTTATTAAGGTATTCAAAAGTATTTTTATAACCATAAAAGTCACGTTTGTCTCCATGCAAGGTCAAGTTCATTGAACTCAGATTCATTACAGCATGTTCGAACAAATTGTACAAGAAGGGAAATGTACATTCTGTATGTGCCTGTCCCTAGTCAGGATCCTGTAATTCCGTGGTTGTTGTTGGTTTGCTGTATATCGTATTCGTTTGATTTTTCTGTTTATTGTTTTGTACATAAAGCAAACCGTTAGGTTCCTCGTTATATTGATATACATTTGTCATTTCGGGGTCCTTTTTGCTTGGTGTGCGGTATGGGTTTTGCTCATTGTTGAAGGCCGAATGGTGACCTAAAATTGCTTGAATCTACCTTATTTGTTTTTCACTTGTTCCAATGATTGATACCTCATTTCCTTATTTGGCAACCGATAGAGAGTCGTCTCATTGGCAATTATACCACATCGTCTAATTTTCATAATGCAATATGATGCGATAAGAAGAACAACGCCGTCCAAAAAAAAAGAATGTTTGTAAAACAAAATTGAATTCGTCCATTTTGTTGTGTATTTTATTTTAATTCTATTACATTTTATACCACTACAGTAATGTAAAAACAATGAATGTAAGGCAATATTCGCCTCATTATCTATATTGCAGATTAAGTAAATTTCTAGCGTATGTCTGTCTTATTTGCGTGGTTTTTTTTCATGTTTTGAAGAGTAAAACTTAAACTCTTCAAATTTTTTTCTATAAATCATTACATTACACTGCATTTTTGATGATAACAAAATTTATTTTTAACTGACTGATGATGATCAACATGGCAGATGAAGAGGTAACAAAATCCGTTCAAATCGCTGTCCTCGAAGAAGTCCACATCTCTGGATCATTATGTTTCACTTTTAATTTGTTAAAGATCCGATTTCGCTTTCTTTTACTATATCTAGCAGATTGCATTGGATTTTAATATACTCCAACCGTATTATACCCTATAGGAGTGATAGGAACTTACCGATTTCCGTGCAACTAAAGTCGGAAAATTATTTTATTCCTAGCATGGAGTCCCCTGTTATGATTCTTGAACTCTTTATACAGTGACATATAAAATATATATACTTAATATGGATTTTTTTGAAAGGTCAAATTAATGCACAAATAAAAAATGTGCCCCTTTTATTATTTTGTTTCGTAATTCATGCAAACGACAAATTGGTCAACAAATACATCAAAAAAATAAAACATATATGCCCTTTTAAAATACTTTAAATGAAGCAAACCTATCATTAGAGTGAGTTAAGGAAAAAAGTATGATTTGAAGGTGAAAGAAAGTGAAACGAAAATCATATCCCCAGAATAATTTCTACGGTATAATTACCTGTTTCTCTCTTTTTGCGTTTTTTACACAAATCTTCCTGTAGAAAAATCATTAGCTGAATATGTTTCGCATTTGCAGCATCGATAACTGCTTGTCGGTCACTTTCATCTTTTGCAGGTGCGTCCGTAAAGAAAAATAGAATTGAATGTTCTCTACACAATTCAATACCTGGAATGGACATCAGATAGTTAAATAAGTAATCGAACATTTATACATCGAATTTTGATGAAAATAACGTGGCGAGGTGTGTTCGACAGCGAGTTTAATTGATAAGGGTTGCCAGTTTCGATGGTTCTCTTCGGAAACAACGGCTTCTTCCACGAGAAAAAAAATGGGAGGCATGGTATTCTATTTAGTGATTGGTCTTAAAGTTCTAATGATGTGCTATAAACCAGCCTATATACAAAGTTTTACTTCCTTTACTGTATATATTAGTCAAAGCTGTCTCACAAAGTTGTTTCTCCTGACACTATTGCATATTTGTGTATTGCATTTAGCACTCCACCCCCTTTGTGACCTTCAACGAAATTGTTGTCCTTTCTCTGTTCTCAATAAAAGTAAGTTTCTAGTATTTCGAATGTTTTTGGATTTTTTCAAGTGTGCTGCGTTCTGTTGCATTGATTTTATAAGATTTATCATGTCTGAAGTGATCGATAAGTGCCAGGATTTGTTGCCGTTTAAACTTACTTATTAATCGTTTACAGTACAAATTTTTATAATTTGGTGGATAAAAAAAAGTGAGGCGAAAAATACCAAAGGGACATCAAACTCATAAGTCGAAAATAAACTTACAACGTCATGGCTAAAAAAGAAAAAGACAAACAGACAAACAATAGTACACAAAACACAACATAGAAAACTAAAGACTGAGTTACACGAACCCCACTTAAAACTGGGGGTGATCTCAGGTGATCCGGAAGGGTAAGCAGATCCTGCTCCACATGTGGCACCGGTCGTGTTGCTCATGTTAGTACAAACCCGGTGAAGCTTCCATAAATGAATTCGACATTGATGTTTCAGACATAGAATCATAAGGTTTATGTGTATCAATAGGTTGTCGAAAGAAATGAGGACATTCCTATGATAGCATTTTATTTGTCTTGAACTGACTATATTCCCTGAGTGATATACCTGCACATTTAATATGTTCCCAAAACTGACGCTCTGTGTTTTAGTTGCAACATATTTACTTCAAATATGGTATGCAATTGAACGGGTTCAGGACTACTTAGCATTATTTGTTGTGGTAGTGTAATTTGTAAGCACGTGATGAGGCACCTTTTAGTGTTCATCCATTTGAATTCAACTATTACGAAATGTATCACTAATTCTATCTCTAAGGTCATATTTTGAAATGTTAAAGTATTTGCAGGCAGGAACCAGGTCTGTTTTGTATGAAAGGGTAAGTGTAATTTACAATCTAATGGAAATTATGGAAATCATTTAATAGAATCACAAAACCTGAACATGAATACTGAAGCATTCATATAAATTAATATTGGTGTTATTTTCAGTATATATAATAGCCATATGTTTTGTGGTTGTTTGGTTTGTTACCATTTTCTCTGTGGTGGTGACAACGGTCTTTGTTCGGTTTCAGGATCATAAATGAACCCTGAAATCGAAAATAATGTCCGTCTTTATAAAGCAGGTGTATAAACTTAAAATATATAGAATATACTTTCTAAGCATATCTTTTACCTTTCATTAATCCACTCATAGCATATTCCGGACAATCGCCTCCTCCATACACGATAAGGGATTCCAATTTTTCAATCATCTCAAGTCCATTTGTCGTGGTCAAACGATGGATATGCGTATCTACAAAACAACACAACGATGCATAAATCGATGATGGTTGTACCAAGACTGTTTCAAATTCAATTAATCAAATATATGTCGGTGGATAAACATCAAATACTAGTAATAAAAATTTCCTTGAATACTCATCCGTAAGGTAAATAATATACAACTGTTTATGATTGACAAACGTTTTTATAGTAACATTTTGAATGAGTCTTGATTTGTCTGTTTAGGTTGCTCACCCAATTTTTTCAATAAAACGGAACAAAAAACAACTGTCATACAAGTCAGAAGTTTATCTAGCTATAAAAGCAGGTTTGACCCACCATTTTCTCCCTCACCAAATGCCTGTACCAAGTTATAAATACGGCACCTGTTTTTCACTTGTTCCGTTGATTGCTAGCGTTTGATTTTGTCAGTTTTTATGGACTTCCCTTTTTGAATTGCCTTGGAGTTTGGTATTTTGTTATACCTCTTTTTTCATATCAAGTAAAGTACTGTTATCTCTCATATAGTTGTCTGATTGGTATTTCCTTATACTTTTTTGATACTTACCCGGATCATTGAATGTAACCAAAATATAATCACTTGGTTCATTAGTCGAATCTAAAACGTCTGTAATTATATCTACACATGCGTCTTGAACTTGAGCAATGTTATTTCCCATAGATCCAGTGTCATCAATTACAAAAGCTAACGATGCCTTATGTTTTTCTTTCAAGTTAAACACTTCAGCAAATATGTCATTTTGTAACTCATTGATTATTCCGATTTCTACAAAAGAGACATGCTACATGATTTAGGATGATAATTGACTATTGTATGATATGCAGTCATTTTCGCCGTTCGAATTCCAAAGTTCAATATCTGAGGTTTAATCCATCACACAATATAAATATAAGAATTGAAGAAATAACCTTGATAATCCTGAAAAAAAATATTTGCAAAAATCACAAAACAATGGTTATCATATGAGGATGACACTTCATGGGTTTGGTCCATCGAAAGCGTTTTTCTGTATGTACCTTCATTAGGAACGTTACAACCCCAAAATTTTTTAAGGTCAATATGAAAATCAGAAGATGTGGTATGATTGCTTATTGGATGACTTTCCACCTAAGTCTAAATGACGATGAAGCTAGGAACAATTGGTCATCTAAAGAATTTCAATAATGAGCAGAATGGATTCAAGGCTGTATAACAAAATTTACTGTGTTATATCGTATGCACTTCATTTGGTTAGCTTCTTGATTTATCGTAGCTTTTAAAGTTAACAAAATAACCAAAAAAAATTGAACGTAAGCCCTTTCCGCACACTAAACTGTAGTACAATACTAATTAGATTTATTTGTATATTAAGATGTGTTTGATTTATTAAGAAAACAGATTGCTTATTACCATCAAAGGACAGAAAGTGCTTATTCGTACAAATGTACACATCACGTGCATTCATACGGATTTGGTAAAATGAGAGCGATTATTGATGCTTAATCATAAGTATCTTTTTCAAAATCACGGAACTATAAACAACTGTCATGCAAGTGGAAGGTTAAGATAGCTATAAAAGCAGGTTTATCCCACCATTTTCTTCTAAAAAATGCCTGTACCAAGTCAGAAATATGAAAGTTGTTTTCTATTCGTTCTGTTGATTGATATAGGCGAGCGTTTGGTTTTGTCAGGTTTTATCTACTTCCCCTTTTTGAAATAATCTTTTGATTTCGGTATTTTTCAATCTATCACTTTCTGTGGGTTTTTTTCTTCATCTTGTACAAGTTTAATATGATTTCTCATTTATCTTTGATGATGTTATACCTGTATTCGTTTGTTATGTTTCAATACTGTCATACAAATAGTCAACTTATAAAGTTATAGATAACTTAATTCAGGAAAATCAAGGCTTCAAACAATTAATCTGTGTATAAAGTTTGTTAAAAACTTGGAATCAAACAGTTTTTTTTCATAAGGCTTTCATTTTACATCGCCACTTCTGAACGAAAGAATTGCATCTTAAGATCCTTGGAATAAGGAAAGAGCTTCCAGTTGAAATTATACTAACAATAATCAATCATGTATTTGTTCTATATGAATGTAAATTACTACACCAAGGTAAGAAAAAATAATAATACGCAAGGAAAAACGGAATTCTATATATAAGATAATATATACTTCCAGTGATTGAAATCTACTTAGATTGTTTAACAATTATAAGGGTTGCCATAGTACATCGAATGTAAATTCGTATGGCGATTAGTGCATGCATAGTAGGAAATGTTATCCTGTCGACGCACCTTTCGGAGTTCATTCAATTCCCTCAGTTTCAGTTTGTTACCTTTTTTTTTTTATCTCATTGCAATCGATTTACGAGTTTTTAACATCGATTAAATTAATGTGGGCTTAATAATGATGTTTGAATAAAAAAAAGTATTCGTAGATTTGTTGATTCAATAATAATACCTGGATCTATCAAAAACTGTTCTGTTGCCTTCCTTGCGGCAAAGAATGCTTGGTAATGAAGATGGTGATGTGGTGAATACTTTGGATCTAATCTGTCTTTGTTAATTCCGCCCGTTCCAGTTCTCTGCCCATTTTCAGTGTCAGAGCTTCCTCCAAATCCACACTTACCTTTATCCATATCACCACTTGTTTCTATCAGAAGAAAAAACAATTCAAAAAGCAAATATGATAAACTACAACAAACTAAAACCAATGAAATTCAGGCTCATGATTTTTCCACAGCCACACATCCAACTTGAACTCACCCCTAACCTGGGACTGTGGTGTTAAAGCGCAACATACATCAACAAAAGCGCTGTTCCTTTGTTTTTATTGTGTCTTTTGTTGTTCATGAACTGATTTCGTGTCATAGATGGATGCCTCATATCCTTTCTTTTCTATTATGTAAGAACTAATTGTAAAAACCATTTGAAAAGTGATTGACTCATCAGATTGATATAAAGCTAAAAACAAACTAACAAGAAGACCTATATAAAGTAACGATCAGAGGGTAACACATATATTCACTTTACTTTAAAAAATTCATTACTTTGGGATACCATACGGCATATGTTGTTAATAGTGAACAAACAGGTTAAACATTCTACACAGAGGAACAAGTGATCAGTATGCTGGAGTTTCTTATTGACAACATATTTGTTGAATTTGTGGGTAGACTTTTTCAACACATTGTCGGCATTCCTATGGGAAGGAACTGTGAGCCTCTCCTTCCCGACCTCTTCTTATTTTCATATGAGTCGGAGTTCCTTCAGACACTTGTCAAAAACAAGAAAAATCAAAGAGGCTAGATCATTTAATTTCACATTCAGATATATTGATTATGTTCTGTCCATAAACAATCCAAACTTTTCTGATTGGGTCCCATTAATATATCCTCCAGAACTAGAAATTAAAGAAACAACAGACACCGCTTCCTCTGTCCCGTTTTTAGACGTATACCTCGAATTTGACATCAGCGGTCATCTCAGTACCAGAATCTATGACAAACGAGACGATTTTAATTTTGAAATTATCAGTTTCCCCCACCTTAGTAGCAATATACCAACTTCACCTGCATATGGGATATACATTTCCTAACTCATTCGGTATTCAAGAGCTTGCAGCTGCTACTCAGACTTTGTAAAACGTCACCAGTTTCTGAGCAAAATGTTGATGAACTAGGGTTATGTCAAAGAACGTTTCGTCTTTTTTCTAAAAAAATTCATCAGAAGATACCAAGGCCTTGTTGATAAATATTCCGTATCAACTTCACAAATAATACATGATGGTCTTGATGTATAGATTCTAGGTTCTGACGTTGTTTATCATCTTAATTACGTGTTGTAGTGTTCTTTTATCTGTCTTTGTAAATTATTAACGTTTACTGTTTAGTCCATTTTTGGTAATATCCTTTAGACATCCCGCCATTGTGTTGTTGTGCTGTTGTTATTTTTTGTATTCTTGTATTTCAGGGTTGCGTATGTGCTTTGTCTGTATGCCGTTTTGTTTTTCTTTGTTTTTTTTATAGTGATCGAGATTATAACACAATGTTGACTGCTGAAACCCTATTTTCAACATTTCTACCTGTTATGTCTGTTTGTTTTGTTCACACATTGTTGTCAATATAATGGAATTTTATGCGACTGTCATACAAGTGAGAGGTTTAACTAGCCTTTAAACCAGGTTTACTCCACAATTTTCTGCATGAGAAAATGCCTGTACCAAGTCAGGAATATGACAGTTGTTTTCCATTCGTTTGATGTGTTTGAGCTTTTGATTTTGCCAATTGTTAAGAGACTTTCCGTTTTTAATTTTCCTTAGAGTTAGGTATTTCTGTTGTTTTATTTTTTTCTATAACATGCCAGTCTGTCGACTTTTTTAAGAACCGAATTTAAACCGATTTACTCTTTAAACATGTTTCGCAGGAACTATGTACCATTATACACTACTGGAACCTGCCGAAGTAGGATGAAGGGACAATTAGTTTCTGAATAACAAAAATTCAGTGGGAACTAAAACGTTTGTCAATTTGTATATCGGGACAATTAATGAAAGATATTGTTCACACTTATCTCAAACACAAACAAACAAACAAACAAACAGAGAGTAAATAAATGACATATCTGCTGAAAAATGAATTCATAAAAAAGTTTACCGAAATTAAAAAAAAAACGCAAGTGATTTAGAATTTCAGCTCTTTCCAGGGGTTAAAATTGCCACGCACAAAAAGAAAATTGTAACTCTTAAAATACTATATTGGCATTTCCAATGTTCCACTTTTTTTTACCCCATTACAATTTATATGCAGAGGAATATTCTGAATGGATGATATTGTATATGTATACAAATAAAAAAAAAACAATTTTCAACATAATAAGCTGTAAAACGGCAAGCTTTTTAGAAAAGCTATTACTAGTACTTGTGTTTGTTACACTTATACTTACTGTATGGAGGTTGAATGTCATGACCTGTCTGATATCCACTTGTTAACAAATCATTTATCAACAAATTATTCTTGCAGGAGTTTAAATCTGAACTGTAAAAGACAAATACACATTTAAACGTTAGATGTATCATTGTTATGACGAATTAGGAAAATATTTCAATGTACTCCAATAATTTAATTTTCGCTCTATCATACGTTACGATTATGGTTAGCAGTAATGATAAAAAAAAGTATAACATAAATAACGAACTCTAAGAATAAGGAATATGGATAAATTATCTATTTTACTCTTGTAAGTTAGACTATTAAAGATAGTCATGATAGTTATAATTGTAGAACTTGAATCATAAATGACGATGCTTTTCGTAATATGATTTATTAAATTATTTTAATCTTTAAATCTATATAACTTTTATCCAAAATGTTGATTTATATAATTCAAAAAATAACATAACATTGGATTGTGTTGACATGCTAATTAATCAATTGAAATATCGATTATCATAGTTTTGATTTACCCAGAATTGTCACAATCACGACACGTGTCCACTGTAGTATCAGCAACAGCCATTAACGTCTTATTTGGTACTCCTGTGGAAGAATCAACAACGACAGGTTGTAAATGGGGACGTTGTAAGCATGGCCGTGAAATTAAAGAATAAACTGAGGATAACAATAAACAATTCACTTCTGTCCATTTAATACGCAGACTACTACGAATAACGATCTTTCTGCAGTGAAGATGAAATATTTTCTATGCAAATACTTTGGATTTTTTCCTCTTTTATTAAACGTTATGTGCAAACCATACGGTTGATCCCTAAGTTTTTTTTATATATTCTATATTTGGGGTTTTCTAACAATTTTCCATCTTCAATATGCCTTAAATGAAATACTTGTACCAGAACACGTCTTTAACGCACAATTGTATGAGATAAATAATATAATTTTCTATCCTAATTCTCAATTGTAAAAGAAAAATTGTATTGCAAAGCAAAAAAAAAGTTACTAACTTTTATATCTAGATTAGTGGGCTTTATTTATAATTTATTGGCAATTTGCAAAAAGTTTTTTTTTAATTTTTAGTTTTTATCATTTAGTCTCTCTTTAAGCCTTACATTTTCGTAATATACAAATTTAATGTGTTTAAATGTACAAATTCGAATCATTTATTCTCGTGAACTTTATGGTTATGAAAAAAGACAGAGAACGTTCATGCTATAAAGTTTTCTCTGATTTAAAATGATGGAAAATGAATATACATAAATAACTGTGTTCACTCATATTTCGGATACATTTGAATCCGTCTTCAGTAAACAGGCGGCACATTGCACATGTACGACAAGACACCCAATACTTAGCAGGTGCTTTAATTAGATATTATTTGTCAGAAATATTTAATACTATCTATTTGATTGTAAAGTAATTCTGTTTTCATTCTTCCTGTTTAAACTCATATCAAATTGCTTGTTATATCTATCGATTTGCCTTTTCATATTATTATTTGGACAAAAAATACAACTATTTAACATTACATTACATTTATTTTACATATATTTGTAACACTTTATTCATATTTTTGTCCATTTAACTACACAACAATGAGCTATTCATGGTTATACCTTAACCGTGATTTATGATCGGTTTTTGTGATTATGTTGAAAATATACATGTACATATATATGAATTACAAGTCATATAAAATCAAATCAGCACTCATCAAATTATAAATTCAACTATATTGCATGTAATAAATAGGAAAATCGACTAAAAACTGTTTGTACTGACCTGAAATTAAATATCTGTTCAAATTGCCAAGTCTAATATATATCGAATATTTCGATGGAAAATACTATCAAACGATATTATATACCAGTTATTACAGCCTGTAATTATTTTGTTTAAATAATAGCTTTATTGTAGAGGGGCCTCGGGGACCGTGTGGTCAAAGAAGTCCAACTACTGTATCACTAGCCTGTCAACACTGAGGTTGTGCGTTCGATTCCCGCTCGTGGCAGGTGCGTTCCACTCAAATCTTAATTGAATAGGATAGTCAGTTTTCCTACCGAAGGTCAGTGTTTCTCTCCGAGCACTTCGGCTTCCGCCGCCAATAAAAACTGGCCTCCACGAAATAGCCAACAGTGCTGAAAGTAGTTCTGAAAGTGTCTCGAGTTTTTATACTTTGTATTTATCATATTTACCAAAATCTCTGTAAACTGTGTTGCCATTCATTTCGACCCAATTTGTTCCACTGTAAAACGCCTGAATGGTATATAAACATTTTCCAATCAAATCACGTATAAAAGATAGATCGGGTCCAGAACTTTGCGCCAGTTGTCCGATTTGTTTCCGAAGTTGTAGTATATGGATATTTGCTGGAAAAGCAGATCAAAATGCTTTAGTTGTATCTTTAAGAGATCATGTTTTGTAATAAGCATGCATACTCTTGAATGGTTGAGTTTTGAATATGATACTAAAAATAAATTGTCTTCTTGAAACTAATTCTAAAATTACTCATAGGACATACTGCTCATAAGATGTATATACACTACAATGGGAACGCTTTGTACATATAGCGTATTTAATGCATACGATTGGTAATTTAAAAAAAAAAGGAAAACGTGTTATTTTATCGTTGATCCTGGTTTTTAAACTGTTTATGTTGTAGGAGAGCACATTGGAACACATTATGGGTTCGGTGATTTTTCTTTCTTTCGTTTTTTCAGGTGGAAAGGTTTCATGCTTTTTTCTTTGTATGCGTTTTCGTCCCAGAAGCTGTATATACCAGTAATTGTCATTATCTAATTTGTCAGACGTGAATAAATTTATTCGTTTGGAAATAAACCAAAAGTGCAAAGTGATATTTACCTAGTTCTATTTGTTCAGAGTTGCAATGAATATAAGCAGTTTCAGATATTTCTTGGTTTTTAACATGTTGTATAATTTCATTTTCCCGTCTACTAAACTCTTGCAATCCGTCTTTATCTGAAAATATTTGTATTTCCAAAGTTATTCTGCAGATTAACTAATTAATGGAATGAAAAGGAGACAGCATGAACATTCTGTGATGAATAAACAATTGAAAAGATTGGAAACACTCATATGTAACATTTGCAAGAAGTGGTTTTTAAAAATGTAAACAATTAAGTTCGTGCACAAGGCAACAAATACTTCTAAGTTTACACTGTTTAATCAATGCTCTTCAACTTTGTACTTTATATGGTCTTCTGTAGAAGAAACACGCGCCTAGCGCACTAAATTTTCAGTCTGGTATATATGAAGAGTATATTTAAGCGTTGCTTACTATAACCGCTTGGGTCTTGAATGTTTTGTTTCTCCTCAACTAATAAATAAATGAGGTATTATTCTAGTATTCATCTGGTACCAAACAACTAGTGTAAAAACGCTTCATACTACAATATATTGTCGGCCATTGCATTTCATAAACAATCATATCAAAGTACGATATACATTTAATTCTAATACAATGTGATATAAAAAAAAAATAGCAAATTATATCAATACTTTTTGCAGAATGATTAGGTTTTTGTGAAGAATGTGTGTTATATAAGCACAAGCCTGGTATCTTTGATGAGTTTATTCAAATTGGTACCATATCAATACTATTGTATATGGTTATTTTCAATTCAAATGTGTAATATTATAATCAACATTATGAAAAAGTAAAGACAAACGTACTTGTTTCAAAGATACAAATATTCGAAAACCTATAAATGTCTTCGAATATATCTCCTGGTTTTAAGAGGAAATGTATTTGAAGAAATTAAGTCAATAGCAAATGTTTGAAATAAGTAGTACCAATTCAAGAATATATGCTATTGAAAATATCTAGCAAAGTGTTTAAATGCATTGCCTTGGAAAAAGTCAGATGGGTTCAAGATATTGAGCTTAAGTTGAAAATATGAGTTTCAACTATCCTAAAGGACTCTTCTTAATAAAATAATTTAAAAAAATAAAATGCTGATACCTACCATCTCCAAAAAAAGCATCGACTAAATCTATCACATCTATACTGTCATCGACAGCAGTCAGATTGTTTTCCTTTATAAATTTACCAACAGCAATACGGATTGAAATACGTGTTATTTCTGCATGATGTTTGGTATATGAGGCAGACCCTGTCAGGGCATCAGGCGGAAACCCATCCGATGAGTAAATCATCATAATTATTATCCCAAAAAGGGTCTTGAATATCGCCATCGTTTCAATTGGTGTTTCTTCTGTCGTTCATCTGTCAATTAAAATCATTTGTTTAATAGTAATGTAGCTTACAATTGTTTTAGCTTCTACATTGATATCCTTTTTCTGTAACTCAATTTCAAAATGTTTTTGAAATGTGTTTACTTCCTAAAAAAATTATAACATAAAAAAGAAACAAAAGAAAAAGTAGAAGAACTACAACAACTGTACCAAACCAATACACAATCTTTAAATAAACAGTTTCAGTTAAAGTTATGCTAGGTCCATTGCTTACATAAAATTTCCCTCAAACTTTAACGTCAGTATAACAGATGTTTACTAACTATTCGCTAAATACCAATTCTCATGAATAAAAAATATGTATATCTCCTATTTCATATACCAATTCTCCTGTATTTTAAAGAAACGAATAAATATTATTTTTTAAGAACAAACACAGATTATACGTACCGTATTTCCCAAACCGAATTAAAATAATCGTTTTGCAATTCATGTAGATCATTATTTGCATATCAACAGTTAGAACTTCCTGGTTTGAGATTTAATTGGTGATGATTCAATATTTTAAATCAAATTAACTATGAAGCTAACGCTTATTGGCTACTAAAAAATAAATGAATGAACGTGCCAATTGTTTCGATGATATTTATCAATATTTGTAATTTAGTCTAAAATAGTGTCTAAAACTGTTTACTCCCATATGAAATTAAGATGTCATTTGAGTTCCATTGAGACAAATTTTCATTAGAAATGAAAGGACGTGGATGTAAACAAATATAGGGCACAGTACGTCCTTCAACAATGAGCAAACCGGCCCATACAAAATAGTACGAAATGACAAAATGCGAATCAATTCAAAAGAGAAAAATAACGGCCTGAATTGTGATAAAACGAAAACAAAAACAAATTATGGCAGACAGCAACCAACTACACATTATCATGACTTGGGACATGTACAAAAAAACTAAGTTTTAGTCTTTAACATTTATTTTGCAAGTACATGTACCTCCATAAGATACGTACCGTCAGGGGTCATTTTGTGTGTGTTTGACTGTAATTTAATCCTACATCAGAACATCTTATATAATTGAGATTACTCTGACTTTAATATTGGGAATGTTCCCTTGGTGAAGAGAAACATATATACCAAAATCGACTCATTGATACATTAGGTTCATGCCTGTTTATATCCCAATCAGCAATACGAGATTTATTATTCCAGGTCCTCATTGGGGTTCGTTTTAATACAGTGTAAGTTCTCAGTTTTGTCACTCGTTTGCATTTACGTTTGGCCTTGTCATGTTTGTGATAAGAAATTTGCGGTATTGCATTTGTATTTGAAAATATATTGTTTTACATATAGAAAATCTTTTTTCTAAACTAATACTAATAATGCATATTTAAAAAAATACAATTTAATTGCTTGGCATTTACGTAGATCCAATTGCAATTTACGTGCAAGTTAAGGAGTATGTGGAAATTAAGTATTTGTTGAAATTCTGCATCTACTCACTTATTAGTTTTATTAGATGCATTTCTTCAATCCATTTTCCTACAAATCTATAGGCGCACAAACCTTCAACAGATGTATAAACTTACTATTTAGTATTCTAGAAGCTAAAACACTACTTTTAAAAGGGGGTTAACGACCTTGACCACCAATGAGGGTCTTGCACGGTCGGTAAAAAGCTGAACCATGAAGAAAAACAGTGGATGCAAGATTAAGAATAAATGCATTCTGTGGGAACAGACTTCAAAATCCACAAGGTGTCTCTACATACATTTGACAGGAATCTACTCTACCACAGTTCTGTCCGTTGAATCTCATTTTGGATTTATCATTCGTTATACATTTGGATTAAAATCAATAAGCATTTTCTATAATGTAGTTATAAATATTGTATGTGAAAGACATGTATATCATATGTGATTTAAATTTAAACTCTACGTAACAAATTGTGTATTTTGTAATTCAAATGTATTATTCAATATGCATTCATTTTATGATCTCAATTAAACTCTGTGTGTGGGAAAATATATGAAACATTTAATGACTGAATGGTAATTTAATTCCGTTATGTTTTTTTATCTATATCGTATGATTTAAAATAGCATGCCTCAACTTCCCGGTTCAATATTTAAAATTTAGATATTGTTTTCGTAGAGGGTCCATTTACTGGTATTCAATGAATACAAAAAATAAGACAAAAATATAAATGTGTTGTAAATTAAATGATACAAAAACCCTAAAATTTACAGCAGATTCCATTGAGTGTGTAGTGAAAGGTAATATCTTTGGTTTGCTTGCTTGTTAGCTGAACCGTGAAGTCATTATTGGGTCAGGTATACTACCCTCCTTTCAAAGTAGCATAGTCCAACAGACAGATCGATTGGTTTTCTGTCGGACTAGTCTATTCTTAAAGTAGGGTAGTTTACCTAACCTAACAATGACTTCACGGTTCAGCTAACAAGCAAGCTAACCAAAGATATTACCTTTGGCTACACACTCAATGGAATCTGCTGTAAACATTTTTTTTTAAATCAGACGACAATGGAAGAAAAAAATACTTTATCATGTTCAGCTCAACAAAGTAACCAACCCTCCCATTTTTGTCAAAATGGATACAGTTTAACATATACTAACCCAAAGAAAACTCTATCATGCTCAGCTCAATAAAGTAACCAACCCTCCCATTTTTGTCAAAATGGATACAGTTTAACATATACTAACCCAAAGAAAACTCTATCATGCTCAGCTCAATAAAGTAACCAACCCTCCCATTTTTGTCAAAATGGATACAGTTTAACATATACTAACCCAAAGAAAACTCTATCATGCTCAGCTCAATAAAGTAACCAACCCTCCCATTTTTGTCAAAATGGATACAGTTTAACATATACTAACCCAAAGAAAACTCTATCATGCTCAGCTCAATAAAGTAACCAACCCTCCCATTTTTGTCAAAATGGATACAGTTTAACAAATACTAACCCAAAGAAAACTCTATCATGCTCAGCTCAATAAAGTAACCAACCCTCCCATTTTTGTCAAAATGGATAGTTTAACAAATACTAACCCAAAGAAAACTCATTTGTTACTATAAATTATCCCAAGTTTCCCTAACATATATTAACTTGTTGTTGAAAAAAAATTATTTTGTCTATTCAATGTCTTTATTAATTGCATCTCCGTTTGCGCGTTCCTTAAACTGTAATGTAATTGTCCATGAGGGTCGGAAAAGGGTTTCATCAGTTCGTAAACCTTAACTTATCAATGTGAACAAGGAATATTGCAATATTCTATAATTAAAATGAAATTCAATGAGAATAACGTTTTATAAATTTCATTCATCTGAAGCGCTTTTCTGGATTTACCTTCACCCTGAACGCCCAATCTAAACCTTTAAAATGCAAGAAATACATAAACATGATAAATACGTAGAGATGTAAGGATCTTTATGAAGAAAATGGACATAAAAAGAATAACCAAAATTATGTAAGGTCAACTTTGCCTGAAGGAGTTAGAAAAGTATGTGATAAATCAGATTAGCACTGAAGTACCGACTACTGAGGTGATGATACCCCGGGGGTTTTAAGTCCACAAGCAGCGCTTTCGACCAAGTGCTAGTAAATGTAAATAGCACCTTATAAATGTTGTGCGTCCGAAGCACTTTTCTTGATTAATCTTCCCCAGGAACGCCCAAAAATAAACATTTGAAACAGAGATGTGTAAACACGGATAAACGCAAGGAGCTTAATGACCAAAATTGCCATAATGGTCGTGAATAGATACCCCCATATCCTTTCTTTCCTATTATAAACAGAATAGCCAAATTCAAAATGAGCCAGTTAGAAGTGTGAAACATTATGTTTGCAGATTGGTATAAATGGAAGACAAGTACATCTTGGTTTATTATTGAAATTTTTCATATACCAGCTTCATGGTAACCAATTAATGATTTAGTAATTGAGAATGAAGAGTGATACAAGATTGGAAAATAAGAACAAGTAAAAATGTTCGGCTGTGTTGACAATTAAATGTCGATAGCTTTAGTAAAAACTTTAACAACAAATTTGAGCGTATTGCTGTGTGTTGTTTATTTCACATTGGCTACGGGGAGGGTTGAGATCTCACAAAACATGTTTAACCTTCATCTTCTTATTTCTATATTAACCGCGCCGCATTTATGCGCCTGTCCTAAGTCAGGAACTTCTAGCCTTTCAAATTTGTTAGTTTTGTGTGCCTTTTTTAATTTTGGTTAATTTTTATGTTATGGAGTTTAGAGTGGCGTCCATTTCACTGAACTAGTATACATTATTGTTTAGAGGCCAGCTGAAGCCCGACTCCGGGTGTGGGATTTTATCGTTACGCTGAAGATCCATTGGTGGCCTTGGGCTGTTTCTGCTCTTTGGTCGGGTTGTTGTCTCTTTGAGGCATTCCCCGTTTCCATTCTCAATTCTATTTTAAAAACAAAGATCCTATCAAGGCCTATGAATGTACAGATCATTTCATATTATGTGGCCACCTTTTCCTTTGTCAATAGATATAAGAAGATGTGGTATGAGTGCCAATGAGACAACTCTCCATCCAAGTCACAATTTGTAAAAGTAAACTATTATAGGTCAAAGTACGGCCTTCAACACGGAGCTTTGGCTCACACCGAACAGCGAGCTATAAATGCCCCCAAAAAATGACTAGTGTAAAACCATTCAAACAGGAAAATCAGTCTTTTACTATATCATTTCATAAAATATAGTTTTATATTTGTGAAGTGAAGTTTAAGCAAAAATAACAACAATCATCAGAGAGTAGATAAATTGTGTCTACAATCAATTGCCTAGAAACGTATTATTGGTTGATTGTTGTTTGCTTTACGTCCAGTGGCAATTATTTCTTGCATGTTCAGGACAATAACAATTTTTTAATACAAAGATTGGCTACCTTATGCAAGATAATGATCGACCGGGACGATGGGCGAATAATTTTGACTGACATTTGAAAATAATGGTATGTTGGATAAGTCAGACATCTTGCCTTGTATTAGTCCATCTGCAGGTCCATCAGAACCTCTTGTAACAAAAGGATACTTTATCGTGCAAGGGGCGTGGCTCTCTCCCTACACGAGTTACCGAATTAAACGTCCTTATTCCTACTGACGGAACGGGATGTGTGCAAGCGATGAACATACGCCTTTACACCCCAGTCAATCCTTAGGGTCATACTAACATATGTTACGCCTTTGAGAACAGTTAATTGCCTACTTTGCTCACTCATTGTCATATGGAAGTTTGTAACGCCACAATCGAGAAAAAAGAAGACGGGATTGTTGCTATATGACAGGTGGAACACGTGACACAGATAATTCATATCGGTCAATTATAGCATAATGTGTGAGTAAATCGTGCAAATGGGTGACTTAATCATTTGGAACGCTTAGTTCAATAATTTCCTTTGGGCACCACTAACGAGTCATGTGTAGACAAAAATCATGTCTGGGGATACAAATTATTGGACTGACTTCTCTGCCGAGTTTTTTGTAAGCAACTACGCGCTATATCAAGAAAAGCGAAATAGGAAATCCAAGCCCTTGAATATTGTATCAACTACTAATATATGCTCAAATCGCTAATGGAATTTTTTATACTCAAAAATGGAACATTTAAAATAGGAAAATTAAAAAAATATTCGTATGTCGTAAAGTTTATTCTCTACCGATTTTAGTGTCAATTTCAAGGTACAAGTACAGATATGAAGCAGACTTAACTGTACCTGTGGTATCCTTTATTTCAAGTTCAATTGAATAAATACAAAAAACCTAGTCATCAAACTTTGAAATGTTCAGTAAGAAGACTTCATACATGTAACGGAATTTGAAATTAAAGGAGAGGTTTTCTATCTTTACGAGAATATCCTGAATGAAATATGCCTCATGCAGATAAAGAAACAAGTCGGCAAGTGGAGAGCACAGTTGGTTATCATAGGAATACCGACTGATCATATGGATCATATATGTTATCAATAAAAAATAAGTATCTTGATGATTTAATTTTCACAGAACTTTTTGATTGAATCAGAGTCACTGTGGTGTTTCACTCCCCTTCACAAGATATGTGTATCGTCTTTGGCCATTTTTCCTGGTGTGGATATATTTTTTTATATATTTTTCCGGTTGTTTTTTTCATCAATTTTGCAAGCGCTATGCTTTAATAGCAAGGAAACGTGATCTTTTAAAACTAAACTGCAAGAACTCTTCGGTGACATGAATATAGAAAATACATATCTAATCATCGATCATTTACACGTACATAGTTATAAATTGACTTGAATATAATATCATGATACTAGCATTTACCACTGGCAATTGTGCTTTCAAAACTTGTCTATCCTGATTAATGCGTCAGTAAACCACTGTTTTCTTTTCGTTTACCCAAAAAAAGTTTCTTTTTCTGGGACTTTATTTTCTACACAATATGATACGTTGCCAATCTTATTGACTTAAATATCTATCAAGTTAAAAATATATGTATAATATTTGTATAAATGTATGTATGTTCACTGTTTAAGATTGGTGTGAAGCCTTAGTCAAACAATTTTGTACAGCTGCAGTTCTCATGGATTTATCAAAAGCTTTTGACTAATTACCATATGATATTGTATTCGGTAAATTATAAGAATATGGTGTTCCCCACATTCAGTATCTTTCCTAAAATCATATCTCTCCGAGAGAAAACAGCAATTAAAGTAAACAATGTTCGGAGTAGCTGGGCTGCAAACCAAAGGGGGCTCTATATTAGGGCCCTTTTGTTTAGTGTCTTCTTTAACGATATTTTTTATTTCGTTAAACAGAGTACTGTGCTTACAACACTACCCAATCTTTCAGCAGTCCTGATTATGACCATCTCATATATACTTTACAATCTGAGTCTCAAGTGTTAATTGATTGGTCCAAAGAACATAAGATAAATTTTAGGTTATAACAACTGCTGTTGGGAAAAAAATCCGTCAATACAAATTCATCAAACTGTACTGTCATGTGAAAAAACCGTCAAGTTACTTGGTATTGATATTCATTACCAACTTAAATTTGCTGAACATATAAGTAACTTGTGAAATTATTCAGCATAACTGTTACAGTTGAAATTTTTTTATGAAAATTGGATCCTATTGAGTAATTTAATTTTTTGCTCTTTGGCTTGGCATTTTTGTAAAGAGAAAAATTCTAAAAAAAACAATTCTACCTCAGCTAGCTCGATGTGTAGATTTTAACAGACCATGCAGATTGAAAAATAGACCACATCGGTGTCAGTTGGTTTTGAAGTTATAATGTGTCCAAACAATACTACGTGCAAAATAAATAACAAAGGTAAATTTTGATATAGGTAATATATAACTGAAAACAAAGTTCACAATGATCATGATGATAGAAATGGAATATATATAGGGCTATGATTGTCTTTGTTAAATTTATATTTATACACCCGAAATGATTAAAAATAAACATGTAGGGCCTATAGCAAATTTAATTCATAATATAATGTACATTGACTTTCTAATAAACTACACTGAGACCCCCCCCCCCCCCCCCCCCCTTAAAAAAGAAGAAGAAATAATCGAAAAAAACTGAAAGTCAATATGTTAAAAATAAGGTACATTTAAATCAGATATAATACAATTGTTGTTGAAGATGATTTAAAAAATATGTTGTTTTTTTCATTCTAGAGCCGCACCGGGAACGTAGAGTAACTTGTGTAGCCCGACTTTTCATTCAAGTTCAAGATTATCATTGTTATTAATGGGACAACCATTGATATTCGTTGGGAGGATGATATTTTCCGGGTGTATAAATTTCATATGTTTCTTCGCATGCTTATTTTTGCCGCGGCTTTGCTGCGCGGAAATGTATTTTCTTGTGCAAAGATATTTATTTTCAGTCTCTTACACCAGGCCAAGTAAGTCATTTGACCCCCACTCCCAGATAAACAAATGGTCGTCTCCTAGCTAATTGTTTTTTCCCGGACTTTATTAGAAAAAAACAAACTATATTTTCAATATATCATTTTTATCTAACATACAAAAAAATGTTTAACTCAATGTTGTATTTATTTTTTTGTAAAATTTTCAATGGAACAATTATTTTGTTCACTTTCCTTCTGTTTCGGAGTTGGGCGACTTGACCACCAGTGTAAGGATAAAACAGTTAACCGTATCTCATCCGATTTAATTGAAATCAGGAAACTTTGGGAAATGCCACTCATGTGCCACTCTCTGAAAACTGAGGAACCCGTGCAACATCTTGTCAGTGGACAATACACCTATATACCTTAATATAACACATACATATGTTAAACCTGGGAACAGTATATCTAACATATATGTTCCTGGTTAAACATGTTATATTATGGTATATTTGTAATTTTTTTCAGAGACAGGTGCCTGTGGACGTTATCTAAATCTATCTAAATCATGGGACTATTCCAGTTAAATCCTTGTTTAACTTCTTATTATATTAAAGAAGAAGAAGAAGTCATTATTCGCGTCTCCGAATTCTTTAAATGGTCCGAAAAGTCTTTATTTGTCTAATTTGCAATACTCTGTTCAGTCTGTGAACAATAGCTATAACGTGTATAACTAATATGTTTCAGGTTCGATGACATACAAAAATGGGTTAGTTCCCTTTAGTGGAAATCTTTCGTATGCCACGTAATTTTAAACTACGCCATCTTTCGACAAGACGATTAGGAAGGACTTGACAACACATGGTGCACACGTTTTAATAACTGTATTGTTAATATAAGAATAGATTGACACGAACTTTGAATATCAGATTTAGCATCCCGTGTTGACAATGAGCGAAAAATTGATCGGTATCATCGCACTACTTAGTTTATTGTCAGTCGTGTTTGCCGGCGAACTGACATTTGAGTTACCAGATAACGAAAGACAGTGTTTCTTTGAACAAATTGAAAAGGGTGTACAGTCTACCCTTGAATTTCAGGTTTGTAAACATCAATAACAAATATAAATATATGAAACAACAGAAAGGGTTCAACCCTCGATGCAAACATGCATATTGATTATCAATTTAGTGTAAAACACATTGACATTGACATTGTAAATGTATGACATATGTTAGGTTTGTAAGTCCTCAGACACAATGAATAATTCATAAAAGAAGAACTAATGGATGTCACTGTTTGAAAGTTCGGACTACCAAACTTCATTTGCAAAGACATTGAGAGACTTCAAGGTAACAATGGTAGGACCGAAGAAGATACAATATCATTTCCTTGGTCACCTTCTTTTTGTCCAACTAGGGTTAGTCGAGTTGACTTGAGTTTGGATACTTAAGTTCCTAGATAGTTGTTTTAACAGTGTGATTTCATTTTAAACGCAAATGTCACATCATTATGTCAGAAATCTATAGATGCGTAATGCAGTGTTGGGATCAATACAGCATTGCAGACTGTGCCAAATGGCATTAGGGTTTGTCTGACTGAAAAGAAATTTGACGTTTCTCTACTATATTTTCAACAAAAAATCTGAAAATTTCTTTCTGATCGAATGACATTTTGTCTGACATTTTGTCGGTCAGACAGTTTGGGATACACTGCATTGCCTGCAAGAAAACATCAACATATGGGCGATGTCACCTTACAGTACATGTAGGTTTTCATCAAGGTAAGGGGTCAAACATGAATAGTATGGTCGACTTTTTTAACTGTCAGGGGACTTACTTAAATGAGTGATTTTCTAAATCACTGATTCAAGTAACGTTATGTTCATAAAGGTTGGAAGTTTGTCTTTCTTTAATAATCACCTATTTAAGTAGTACAAATTAATCACTAGACTAAGTGATTTAATTTTATTGTAGCTTTGAATATAGAATACTAATGATCCAGGGACTAATTATGTTGCTAAAATTATCAGAACCAGCATCTGTGTTGATAGGATGACCGGGTCATGTCAGGTGATGACCTTGTACTAAATCTAGGATAATAAAATAAAAATCACTTGTTTAAGTAGCATACCTCAATTTTCCTTCCAAAAAATCACTTCCTGAAGTATCATTATTTTAATAACCCCCACTAATTTCAACACCCCTGAACAGTGAAATTTTGATTGCGAACAGTAGAATTTTATTACATAATCTATAAGATGAAACCTTGAATTTTACAGGAAAAATACTCCCACTGCTGGGAAAAATCTGTTAAAAAAGTATCAGTTCATTATGTAAAGCCATTTTTATAGCATTTTTTCAACTAAAATAGAATTTGCAGCTAAATGATTGCATCAAAGGCATAAACCGTGCTGCTTAAAAGAAGCACAAAGTTCATTTTTTTTCAATTTTACTAATGAAAAGATATTATCCAAACTTATGTGTTACAAAATTTTGGTAAAACTACAAAATCACAATTTGTGACAAAACTTCGAAATTGCAATTAAAAAAAGTGATTTTGTGATTATTTCAATAAGTCCCCTGACTGTTTAAGTGGCAATCTGTTTTAATCATTACATTTGCTTAATTCTCCTGTGTAATTTAGGCATGTGCATAGAAAAATATCAGGGGTGTACAAATCAAATCAGCACCTGGTCATTTTGGCACCTATAGAAAAAATCTATTTGGTACAATGCACCTGGTCAAATCGGCATCTAATCAAATCGGCACCTATTTTAAGTCATTTCAGCCTTTGATAATTTAACTGGCACCTAGTATTTTTTTTACCGTTTTCTCTCCTTTTTATTTGAGAATAGTTTTTTGTTTTTTTCTATATATATATTTTTTGGCAAAACTTACAATTATTTCAGAGGTTCATTTTGCATGTTTTGTACATCCTTAAAAACTCAGCACATGTAATTAAGCAGTAAGAATACGCAATAAACAGTAATCAGTTGGCTTTCTGTTTGAAGTTTCCTCAATATTTATTAATAATGTCTTGATTGGTTATCATTTTAAAAACTTACGAACTTATATCAATTACAAACAATAACCAGTTTGTTGTTTTAACAATTTTCAGGAAGTTTTTGATCTTTTATAATTAAAAAAAAAAGTAAACAAAGAAGGCATTATACAAGGTGTTTTTTAATCCACAGATGAGAATAAAAACTATTTTTATCATTGTATACTATATTGTAATTTAAATTGTGTTTTTTTTCCCTGCATTTCCTGTCTACTTGTATAAAATGAATAACTTAGTAATGTGCAGTTGTCATGAAATAGAGGTTCATTTATTATATAAGTTCCAATAGGAACAGATAGTATGGCCCCATTGTTTATAACAAAGTTTCCATTGGAAATTCTGTTACGCACAACAAACATATGTTGACACCTCGAGTGAAAATATTAAAAAAATAATGAAAAACAGAGTCTTCAATAGTTTACTTGCAAAACATAATGTTAATTGTGGTTGCTTAATTAACCAGGTCTCGATTTGACTAGGTGCAGAATTGACTATAATGGTTGCTGATTTGACCAAGTGCTGATTTAATCAGGTGCCAAAGTGACTAGAATTCTGTCATGTAATACCTGGGACATAATATATTGACGGGACTTGACACTTGACAATTACCTTATCGGGTCAGTTCTAATTACCGATATGGTACAGGAAGGTAGATGTGTCAAATCATGTACCCGCTATAACTGAATTCAAATTGAAACGGTTTTAAAATAATGATTGGAAATTTTCATATATTTTAAAACACTACCATGACTACTGTGATATCTAATATATTTAAAATGATGACATAAACAATTATACAGAAACTTTAAGTTGTTTATAAAAGAAGAAAACAGCAATTGCGAAGCTTTTCTACTCTTTTTGTTTCTATTTCTTCTTATTAAACAATAAAAAATCAATTTTGCACTTAAAAAGTGTTCGAATGTGTTGGTTTTTTTTAGAACACTTCAACAGAATCCGAAAGAAAACTTGTGTTTTAAAAATAAAAAATTTCATTAAAATTTGGTTCAATACATATCTTATTAATTTCAATATAAACATGATAAACATTGAATAGAAGTATAGATCTTTTATTATTTTTTTTGTCTTAAGGCATACAAAATCTTTTAATTGCCCTTCTTTTATGATTCTTTGTTTAATTTGTATTTAGTTTATATTGTTTTATCAATTCACATTATTTTAAGAAGGGTAACTTAAAACAGGATTAAACAGGGGAAGTAACCCGAAATTTCTTTGAAGTGTTTTGCTTCAAAAGTCGTTAATTATCGTTAATTAGTACTATGTTTGACACCCAAGCTGTCAAGTGAAGCCATTTAATTTCACATGGTCTGTGATTTACAGGTAATTACAACCCTAATCAGTGAGACAAAAACGTATTTACTGTTGACTTGTCATTCAAGGTTAAAATATCCCAAAGGGGGAGATTCTATACTCCCGCGCGGGAGGGTACCGGCAAGCGGGAGATATACCGTTTTTCGCCATTTGAGCGGGAGTATCCCGCTCAAAACGGGAGGGTTGGCAGGTATGCATTAAATAGTTTTGATCACAGATTTGTTTTCTTAGTAGAAATTATTATTATAATCATTATGCTTATGATTACCAGTTAGTATAATAGTCCCAGCCTCCATTTGATAAAACCTTATTATTTATACAAATGTACAATACAAATTTAAAGAGATATTTATATTTTATTTCACATTGGGAATTTTAATTGTTTTCAAAGAGTTTGAACTCCTGTGATGTAGTAACCATTCAACTTCCTGTGTACAAGGTGTCAGTTTAAACTCATTAGAACATGTATATGTTGTGATTTACCTGGTAATCAAATAATTCACACCTAATTTACATGTCATACTTTGAAATTATGTCTCGGAGAGATGCTTGTGTATATTCAATGAGAAATTAATTGCCATTTTCTTTTAAATATATTTAATCTTAAAAATTAATAATTTCGTTACATTTTATGTGTGTTGATCAAAAATTGTTTTCTTATAAGACAATTATTATTGTAATTATTGATGGTATGTCATTAAATTGATTTCTTTCATTAGAAAAAACAATATATTTTAACTTTGTTGACTTATTATACGCCCGTTTACAAGACGTATTATGGTATACCGTTGTCCGTCTGTCTGTTTGTCCATCTGTCGTCAACATGTCGGACATTAACTCAAAAACGCTTTGACCAATTTGCATAAAACTTTGGTGAATTGTTTATATCTATTGATGTGAGCTCCCTTTCGTTTTTTATAAATTTTAGATTTTACGTTTCCAAGTTGTGGGGTTTTATTCATTAAAAAAAGGGGGATTTTCCAATTTTCGGACAATAATTCAAGAATGCTTTCACCAACTTGCACGAAATTGTGGTGAATTGTTTATATCTATTGACATGAGCTCCCTTTCGATTTTTATAAATTTGAGATTTTACGTTTCAGAGTTGCAGGGTTTTATTCATAAAAAAGGGGGATTATCCAGTTTTCGGGACAAAATCTAAAAATTATTTCAGCATTTCTTATGAAACTTTAATGAATTGTTTATATCTAATGATGTAAGCTCCCTTTAGAATTTTATAAATTTTACATTTTACATATCTGAGTTATGGGCTTTTATTCATTAAAAAAGGGGGGATTTTCCAGTTTTCTGACAATAACTAAAAAAATGCTGTCAGCAATTCTCATGAAACTTTGGTGAATTGTTTATATCTATTGATGTAAGTGCCCTTTTGATTTTAAAAAATTTCTAATTTGACATTGAGAATTAGTTGAACTATATTTGTTTATAGTCTGACAACAGATTTACTAAGTATTGCACAACAGCACAGTGTATTGCACAACAGCAAGAAATCTTTAATTGAATATAAATTCAATTCATATAACCAATTTCAAGTTCTTTGACTACATTTATTCAGAAACCTATAATATGTCAAATATTTAATTACAATCCAAATTCAGACCTGTATCAATCTTAAATATTGTGTCCATTTTTGCCCCAACTGTTCAGGGTTGGACCTCTGCGGGCGTATCCAGCTGCGCTCGGCAAAGCAGTTTATTTTAGTTAGGCCACAATTAAAAATATTTCAGTTTGCCCAAACCCGACCCATGATGACTGGGTGTGGGTAGGTAGGTAGGCAAATTCTTTTTTTTTTATCAGAATTTGCATGAAAATATTAAAACAGTATATCTTTTTTTTCCGTCAAACCTTTGTAGAGACAATCAAAAGCCATGAAAAACTGTCTGCCATTTTCACATGTTTTACTTCTTTACAGGGATGTCACTAGGTTTTGAAGTAGCAGGATTAATAATTAAAGTAGCAGGCAAGCTCGTCGCCCATCACGGCGAGGTTTTTTTTTCTAAAATGGTGCAAAAATCCTGCATTCTGGGGGCTCCTGAACTCTAATTTAGTCCTAATCAAACACCATTTTTTTTAATGATGATAAGGTAAATGAGCAGCAAGATGGTCACATATTTTCTATAAAGTTGATCACATAAATTTTATTATCACTATAACAAGACTTTCAGCTAACAAGTAGTTGGAAGTTGTTTGAGGAAAATGATGAAGGATGACTCTGTAAGACATGGTGATCATTCAGGAAAAGATTCAAATTTGATCTTATTAGTTGAAAATATTTTTAGTTTAACTGTAGACATGCAATTATTCAAATAATTCGAACCCATAGACATTTTTTTTTATTTCTCAGTATTAATAATTTCACATACTTATTACAATAAATCAAATGATGAATTGGACTGTTGCAGGCAAAAAGGTGAACTCTTTAAGGATGTACTTTGATGAAATTAAAAAAATGTAGAATTTAAAATTGATACTATAAGTCAGAAGACTTCAAGAGCATTTAAGTTAAGAAGCAAACTAATGGAAAGAGAAGAAATCTACAATCTGCTTAAATTTTGGTATATGACCTTTTATGAGTTATTAATTGAAGTATTATATATGGGAAAAAAATGGGGGTCATGGGGCAAAATATTTTACCCTGTATCGTAGGAAAAAACCAGAGTCCAAACATCTGACAGAAATTCCAAAACCTGACCTAAGTACATCCTTAAATGCATAATCATGCAGGGCTCACACTACTTCAGAATCATAGGCAGAAGTGACTTCTCTTTTTGAAACTGATAGGGAGAAGTGCTCCTTTGCACACTGTGCTACAATGTTTGGTTTTTACTACCTATAGTACAAAGGGTCATATGTAAATAATGTTCTTTTTATATTGTTCAATTCATATATGAGTATACAATTAAAGTAAAAGTTCAAATTCAAAGTTGTTTAAGTTTAGGTTCTTGTGAGAAACTACCAACTAAATATCTAGCACTAAAAAGATTTTTTTTTATGACAAAAAGATAAAGAAATTATAATATATAAATCACAATTCAATTAAAAAACTATCTTGTTTATCATGTTTATGAAATTCAGTGTTTCTCATCAAAAGATATACAAAGTTAAGCTGGGCCATATATATTGATATTAGTATTATAGTCCCAGAGCAAGGATTTGTATAGTCTCACTATACAAATCCTTGCCCAGAGTTAATTAAGCAAGTTTAATTAATATTTTGAAACAATCCATATATATGGAATTATATACATTAATCAAGTAAATCTAATAAATAGTCTGTTAATGCGTGTGGAATACGCAATTTTTCCATTTGGGACCAATTTCCTTGTCAGCTGTTCCATTCATGCGTCCGTAGTTATTATTGTAAAAATACGGATTTCGGTCATAGCTGGTCCGTTTCCGATCCGTAGTTAGAAATCAGTTAATGGCGGACGAAGAAAATTTACAAAAATAAACGATGTTTGACAAGCTATTTGGAAAGGAATATAACGTTTTTAATGCAATAAATGGATTAAACATTAACTGGAGGCAATTTTTATCACGTTCAAATGAAGTAACAAACTTATTTTGTCGCCGAAAGTTAGATTGATGTACATGTACGATCTCGTGTAACAAGTACCGGAAGTGAATGAAGTGATAAAAAGTTGTTTTTTATTAAATAATCTGCTTCACACTGTAAAGTAAATGCTTAAATCTCTGTTCTTCAGAAAAATGAATCGTTTATGTCTGAATTTCTTTAATTATCAATGTTTCATCGACTTGGTAAAAAATGAAAACTTTGTGAAAATATTATTTTTGACAATTTTGCAGTAGCCGGTGCCAAAGCAGAAGTAACCATTCTTTAAATCCGAAGATAAAAACCGAGAACATCGAATATCGATTAACTGCGTCTCTTACACGCTTTCTTTTAATCTTATTCACAGTTACTTTCAAACGCAAAGACGACGAACATTAAGTTTTATACGATGACGGAGCGGACACGAAAAAGGTCCGAAAAAATAAAAATATTCAAAAAAACGGCAAAAAAAGAATTTGAGTCGGCGGGGTTTTTTTGGGTCGGTCGCGTTTGGGCAAACATACAATATTTTTATTTTGGCCCTATATCAGAATATATTGCGTTACAGAAGTGTGTCTAAATGTAAAAGGATAATAAATAAAAACAGGGGCCATAAATCAGTGACTACTTCACAACGCTTTAAATCACTTCACATCTCTCTTTTATATGTCATTCTAAATAACAAATTATATTTTGTAATACTTAACAATGAAAACGTATTTGACAATCGTTTAAAATTATTCCGTAAATTCACACAGCCATTTACATCTTTCTCTCCAAATCCTCGCAAGTCTCGTAAAATCTCGTGGAGTATGGTAATTCGATCATATCTTAAGGAAAAACCTACGAGATTCTAATCCCGTTAGTATAATGGTCCCAGGGGATACTAAAGACTTTTCAATCACAACATTGAAAGAACATCTATCCTGGAACTTTTCTATCAAACCCAACTCCCCCTGAATTGTACAATTGATTGTTAATCAAAACATTAAAGGTAATCTCAAGTCTAATTAATCTAGACCATACAAAAGAATTATTGAAAATGCATGTAGACCATTTGACATCATGATTGGTCAAAATACATTGTGGACATTAGGGAAATGGAAAGGGAATCGCAATTCTGACCCTGATATTTTTTCTACAAATTTTAGTTCCTGTTCGGAATATCTGGATTTTAGGACTTTCTGTCATCGTTTTTTATTCTATTTACTAAAACGTTATACTGATAGGGAGTTTTATGAATATGTCAGCCTAGCATGATGCAGACAACAGAAGGCTTCTGTTTTGGCTGTAAAGCTTAACAAATGCGATAATAATATCACTCTGAGTGAGCTTCCATGTGAAAAAAATGACTAAATACAGAGCTGTTTACAAATGGTGTACATTCTTATCACTTTATTGTGTTTTCTTTATAAACAGAAACATTTATGAAAATGTTCATTTCTTCATAATTCATATTTCGTTTGCATTTTGTTTCGCTCTGTTATGTTTTTATCCTGCATTTGTCCTGTTTTGCACTTTGCAGGTACCCATGTATTCTAGTATTGTTCCAGTATTCTAGTTTAATGATTTGTTTGTACATTTTTCCTTTGATCTTTCTGCCTCATATATATTTTATATCATGGACAGGATTTAGCTGACATGAGATATAGTTAACTTTTTAGATACTCAATTTGCATTATTTTTCAGGTTATATCAGGTGGTCAGTATGATGTGGACATGGAACTGACCGCTCCCAATGGTCAAGTATTATACAAAGACGTGAAGAAGCAGTACGATAGTTTTACCTGGACACCAGATCAAACCGGCGTCTTCAAGTTCTGTTTTAGTAATGAGTTTTCTACATTCACACACAAGATTGTCTACTTTGATTTCCAAGTCGGAGATGAAAAGCCACTTTTTGAACAAGAAGGAAAACATGCAACAGCTATGACTTTGGTGAGTTGGACTTTTATATTTTCTTTAATTACATTGTATTAGCATGAATTGAAATAAATATATATTTCTTTTATTTTGGGTTGATATATGATCAAGCTGAATATTGTTATGAACATTTTGTGATCTTGAGTCTATTATCTCGTGCCGCTAGTTTGCATGCTTTTATTTGTAATTAGTATTGCATGAAATTTCTATTTTCATTTATTTTGCTTATCATTGTTCAATAAACAGGTATACTATATGCCATTATCTAGTTAATACTGGAAGTTGCACCTTGATTTGGGTTACAGAGGCATAAATGCAATTGAAACAATGGCTAAAGTGTGTGCTCACTTAATCACAGGTATATGAAAGTATTCCAGTTCCACAAGATTTTCTTAAACTAGGTTTTGATATTAAAAAAAAACATTAACCAACTTAATTCAGAGTGATTTATTTACTAGACAGTGCTACAGTTGGTGGGCCCTTTTTTTTTTGGAGGGGGTGTGGGGAGGGGGGGGGGGGTGTGCAGGGTTTTGAAAAATTCTGTTATATAAATCATTTTGAATATATCTATGCAAAACAGGAATCCTCTCTTGTTCAAATGTGAAATACCTGAACAAAGTTGCAAACTTATTTATCATTTTGTCTCTGGTGGCATAGGCCTTTAAGGGTTGTAGAGAACGTATGCCCCCATGATAGTCAAAAAACACCTGATTCCTATGATTTTGTAGCATAAAATTGCCCAAAAATTTGTTTTCCTTGCTACGCCAGGCAGTATACATTTCGTTTTCTGATATTACGCACCCTTTCAAAATTCTTGGATTCGCCTCTGGTACCACATACATGTAGAACACTTAGTGTGACCATCAATATATTAGTCCATTGTAGTCATTAAGTAGTTTTACAAGGGATAGATTTATGGATTGATTGATTGATTGATTGATTGATTGATGTTATTTGTATCAATCTTGTGACTGGTACTAAAAATGTACTAAAATTTACCAGTACATGTTTATAAGTTGATAAAACCTGTTTATTGAACAATACCTTTACCTGCATGTTGTACTTTCCCAGCATGAACGCATCATCTTGATCTGACTATTAGCATATTTATCAAAATCAGTAAGGTTGATAATTTTGTAGCATTTTAAACAAATTGATATGAATTGAAACAAAAGGAGATGGTATGATAGTTTTGATACATTACTGGACAGAGAATTATTTTTGGTTAAGCAAGTTTTTGTGGCTAACTTGAGGTATGAAATAAAATTATATATATAAATTATACTTCTAGTGTATTGTTTAAAATTTCTGAGACCATGGAGACTATGGTTTCAAAATCGAAAGAAGAATTTATTTGGCGATTTTCTGTTTAGATTTGAGTTTCGGAAGAAATGGCTATATCATGCATACCTTCAGATCATTAAAATTATTTTATAAATATTCTTTAGAATTAGAAATTGTTAGATCAATATACTATGATAGCCATGATATAGTTTTAGATTTCATAATCATAAACATGATAAACATGCTGACCATGCTGAACACTTAATCAGTAAAACTTCCTTTGACTAACAATCAGTCAGGGTTAATACTTAAACAACATGAACAAGTCATGTTTATTTACTTGAAGATGTAAGTAATGTTTACTTTTATTCACAAGTAAATTTGTAAGATTATAATTTTATTTTCAAGGATTGAATTATCTCCCCTTATTATACTTTTATGAATACTTACATGACTTAAGACAAGTTCTATCAATGACAGACAATAAAACACTCTATTTATAAGGGCAATGTAGAGTAGAAAATTCAAGAAAAAAAACTTATAAGTTAAAAAATCTGAATATCGAAAGGACAAAACTATACATGTACCTCCAAAATAATTTACCTGGACCAGTGAATAAAGAACACTTGTATAAGTATTACACCTGACTGGCAATAACAATTTACTAAATTTATAAAGCTTTTTTTTGTAATTTAGTCAATATAATTTATTTAATCACAAACAGATTGTGTGCATAATAGTCAGAAATCTTAATAGTACAGATATATTTAGCAAATTAGAGCTCTTGTCTCCAAGGAATTGATTCGACAACGCAACACAAAATCTCTGATTTGATGAACTTTCTCCCCCCACCCTTGATTTTCATTCTTGGTGTACCCTGAATATAATTTTTGGAACCATTTAAAGTTACTAACAATGGCAGACCACCACATTGTTTAAAGAACCAGCAAAAGTTTGTACCCTGTTAGTCCTTGGTCTGACAAAAAAATTAAAGTTTCTTGAACTCGGACCGTTAACAAAAAGTCACCATAAGAAACCGTGCAAAGATAAACATGACCGACAATATGTCTTTTCTATTAAATAAAGTGTAATAAGTATGAATTTGTGCAGATCTTGCATTGTATACCAATGTTAAAAAGAACAAGTGCACCTTTATCAAATTAGCCAATACATTTAAATACCCTTCATTACATATGCATGTGATCTGAATGGTCTGGTTTTCTGTTTTGCCCCGACCAACATGACACCAAAAGTACTGATAAGAAATAAACATTCCAGTGATCATGGTGATATTTGAAGTTATATAATACTGTATATCAGGTTATTTTTGCATCAGGTTTTGTTCACGGTAACGGGATTGTGTCTTAGATGGTGCAGTTAAACCCTTGCTGAAAATATTGTCTTTATTCTTGTTTCATGGCCTTTTACAATGCATTTAAATGAACTGTAAAATGTTTAAGGGAAAATTAAGAGGTAAAATGTCTTAGATAGCAAAAATTCAACACACTTAACATAACCTGATAAACAGTCACATGTATGAAGCATTTTACTGTTAGCATGCTAGGTCAGATCAAGATGTATATCTGGTTACGGCTTATTTTTTTCCTTTGTAGATGGAGACTTCAGCGGTCAATATACACGAAGACTTACGTAACATATTAGATGACCAAACTCATCACCGTCTGCGTGAAGCTCAAGGCAGAGTATTTGCAGAAAATTTAAACGATAGAGTATTCTATTGGTCGTTAGGACAGTCTTTGATTATATTATTTGTTGGAATAGGACAGGTTTTAGTACTAAGAAGTTTTTTCACAGAAAAGAGAACTGGAAAAGCATAATTTATTGTTTATTAGCTTTTATACTAAATCTCACGTAGGCCATCCTTAAAAATTGATGAATTTGCTATGATTTAAAATCAAAATTGTTCTAGTATAAAAAAGCATAATAATTTTGGGAGTGGATATAAATTATAATTGTTGCAAGGAAAATATTTGCACAATGTACCTAAATTTACTCATAAACTGTTGAATTATTATTGTTTTTTTGGAATGAATTTTCATGAACTTCTTATGTAAATATGAAACACAAACTTGTGTCTTCAACAGAATACTAATTTCCCATAGGCTTGTAACATGTATAAATTTTTCTCTATACATTCTAAATTAGTTTTGATATGATGTCATCAAAAATGTCTTGACATAAAAAATTCACAAAATCAAGTGTTAACCAAAAAATTATATTTATAAAACCACAAAAATAAGTAAATCCACATTACTCAGGTTTGAAGTAGAATGTTAACTGTAAACAATTTTTAAGTATGGCCTTATCAACATGATCAAGATATAAATATGAAGTTCAGTCTAATTAAGATAAACTAAGTTTCCCCTGATTTTAGGATGTATATATATTTCACAGTTAGTCAATTTAGATTAGGCCTTGCCGTCATCAAACTTTCTAGCACGATTCTCGTACTCAGACTCAGAAATCAACCAATCAAAACACTGGATTAAGTGTTTCGAGCACAAATTTTGTTCTCCGTGTACTGAGTAAAGTTTTATGACCGAGGGCCCAGGTCTTAAAAGACTCAATGGGCAATGCAATTTAAATGTTGAGATCATTATATTTTAGAGAGTTAATTGAAAATTTTTCTTGTAAAGCATTGTTTTCAAAAATATTTTTGGCAGGTCTAAAGTATAATGAAGTACATGTCCATACTAAAAACAAAAAAACAGGTTTAGTTAGACTGTTATATTTCATTGTAAATTATTTTCATTGCTCAATTCATCGTGTTCATTTCATACCATAATAGAGGAATGAAAGTATTGAAATATTTGGTAAACTAGGACTGGGAGACAAATAGAATACAAGTGATTGGAACTGTAAATTTTTGTCAAAATATTACCTCGTTATCTTATTTTTGTTTCTTCCATTATGCATTGGAAAATACCTGATAAGATTTAACAATTAGCTTTACGTAAATGCCTTTAATGCATCTTCGCTAGCCAAGGATTACGATCCAGTCCCCTCCTGTCCACCCATTGCAGAATTCAGATAGAATTTCGGATCCATGATGTAATGATTTCCATTGGTCTTAGTTGTAACTGGCTGCATCCAATCAAAAAGAACCTTTAAGATGATCACATGTAAATGTAGAAAATTTAAATAAACAATTGCCATGTGAAGATTGTGCAACAAGTCTTTACCCCAAAAACATAGAATGATATTTAGTGACAATCTTAAAGTTCTTAATCAACTAATTAATTGAAGTTTCTGGGTATGTTTCTTGTGCAAATGTTGGAATACCAATGTTTTTTTCGGTTTTTGCTTCACGAAATTTGTAAACACTATATGAGACAAACGTTTTTACACCTCCCTACTGAAGAGTGTTCAAGTGCTACCATTGGTCAAGAATGATGTAGTCGGAATGGGCGTGATTTTTGTCTACTGCATAATGTACTGGTAGATGGCTCATCATTGTCATAACAAATGTTGGCTAAATCTGCCAAGGGTGGAGAGGAGGAGACTGGATGGTAACCCTTGGCTAGTGAAGATGCCTTTAATGTAACATTGCCAATTGCTTATAAACTAATGTTAGATTTGTACTAAATTTGGAAGGCAACTTAAAAAACCTATATTTATACATTTATATATGACATGCATGTTCAGTAACCATGGTAACTGTATTGAATGTTCTGATTCCAAGGCATGTCAGGATGTCAAACTTATTCAAACAATATTGCACTGACTATTGTAACTGAATACACAGAACTCAGAAACTAGATATGTTATGATTTTTGTAACAGTATGAAAAATCTCTAATTTCTTCTCTTTCATGTAATTTAATTGTAGTGTGGATATTGTATCACTGTGTGCTATTTGTATTTCTGTTTTATATGATGTATGTGAAGAAATTTGTGTTGTCGTGAAGTGCATATTTTGAGAATATTTATTTTGTTGTTTTTGTACAGATGTTTATCATTCCATATAATAAGTATAAAAAATTAGTTGTTTTTTTTATATTTAAGGTTTGGTTTATTAAAACTTTTTGTTTTAGAAATTAGCTGTATGGTATAGTGATTTAGTAAATGAAAATATTTTCCAGTAGATTTTAATAGATATATGTAGATTGGTATCATGATCCCAGGAAATCTGATTTGTGGTTAACTCTAGGGTTTACTTTGAAATCTGCAAAGTCAGTGCATGCTCATCTTTAATTTTTATACGACCGCAAATTAAAAATTTTTTGGTCGTATATTGGTATGACGTTGGCGTCGTCGGCGTCGTCCGAAGACACATTGGTTTTTTGCACTCTAACTTTAGTTTAAGTGAATGGATCTCCATGAAATTTTACCATAAGGTTCAATACCACGAAAGGAAGGTTGGGATTGATTTTGGGGGTTATGGTACAAACAGTTAAGGAATTAGGGGCCAAAAAGGGGCCAAAAATAAGCATTTTTGTAACTTCCAGACAATAACTTGTGTGTAAGTGTATGGATCTCTCTGACATTGTACCACAAGGTTCCATATCACAAAGGGAAGGCTGTAATTGATTTTGGGGGTAATTGCCTCAAAATTTTAGGAATTAGGGGCCAAAAAAGGGGCAAAAAACAAGCATTTTTCTAGTTTCATGACAATAACGTGTGTAAGTGTTTGGATATTTCTGAAATTGTACTACAAGGTTCCATATCACAAAGGGAAAGCTGGAATTGAGTTTGGGGGTAAATGCCCGAAACGTTTAGGAATTGGGGGCCAAAAAGGGGCCAAAAAGAAGCATTTTTCTAGTTTCCAGACAATAACTTGTATTCAAGTGTATGGATCTCTCTGAAATTGTACTGCAAGGTACCATACCACAAAGGGAAGGCTGGGATTGAGTTTGGGGGTGATGAATCATAATGGGGTTCAAAAAATTTGGGGGGGGGGGGGTTTCTTATTTTTTTCTTTTTTTCCTTTTTTTTTTTTTCTTTTAAAATTTTCCATTTTAAGTTGGTGATTTCTGATTTATATTTAAAAGCAAATAATAATGATATGGTAGGAGATACACACCAAACAGGATGTGTAAATTATTATATAATAAGTATTGTGCAATAGCAAGAAATTTTCAATTGCACAGTATTGCACAATAGCAAGAAATCTTCAATTGCACAGTATTGCGCAATAGCAAGAAATCTTCAATTGCACAGTATTGCGCAATAGCAAGAAATATCCAATAGCACAATATTGAGCAATAGCAAGAAATTGTCAATTGTACAGTATTGCGCAATAGCAAGAAATATTCAATTGCACAGTATTGTGCAAAAGAAGATACTTCATATAAATTGCTTATTTCTTGATCAATTTCAATGGGGTTTTATTCTTGAATTCTTGGGGTTCTTTAATATGCTGAATCTAACCGTGTATTAAGTTTTTGGATTTTGGGCCCCGTTTTTAAATTGGTCCACATTGAGGTCCAAAGGGTCCAAAATTTAACTTTGTTTGATTTCATCAAAAATTGAATTATTGGGGTTCTTTGATATGCCGAATCTAACCGTGTATTTAGATTCTTAATTTTTGGTTCCGTTTTCAAATTGGTCTACATTAAGGTCCAAAGGGTCCAAAATTAAACTTAGTTTGATTTTAACAAAAATTGAATTTATAGGGTTCTTTGATATGCTGAATCTAAACATGTATTTAGATTTTTGATTATGGGCCCAGTTTTCAAGTTGGTCCAAATCAGGGTCCAAAATTAAACTTTGTTTGATTTCAACAAAAATTGAATATATGGGGTTCTTTGATATGCTGAATCTAACCATGTATTTAGATTTTTGATTTTTGGGCCCCGTTATCAACTTTGTCCACATTGAGATCAAAAGGGTCCAAAATTAAACTTTGTTTGATTTCATCAAAAATTTAATTCTTGGGGTTCTTTGATATGCTGAATCTAACCATGTATTTAGATTTTGGATATTGGACCATAATAGGTGAATGTCCAATTTAAAATTTTTAAGTTCTTAGACCACATTCATTCTGTGTCAGAAACCTATGCTGTGTCAAATATTTAATCACAATCCAAATTCAGAGCTGTATCAAGCTTGAATGTTGTGTCCATACTTGCCCCAACTGTTCAGGGTTCGACCTCTGCGGTCGTATCAAGCTGCGCCCTGCGGAGCATTTTATTATTGTGGTTTTTTTTTCTTTTTGCTTATCTAGAAATCTAATTGTCAGAAGTTTATTTGGAGTTTTTCTATTATTGTTTTTCTTCTCATGAATAGTAATTTAAAAAGTTTCTCTGCATTGTTAAGTACATGAAGAATGTAAACCTAGGGACCATTTTTGGAGACAATCTGAATGTTTTTAATTCCAGATTATATACCTTCAGATTTCTGTTGTTGAATTGTGCTCTAAACCAAAACATATTTTTTTATTAAAGTAGAATACCATTTAGAAATAAATATGTAATTGTTATTTTTTGTAATAACTCAATAAGTCAAGGATCATGATGAAAGAGTATTTAATAATATAATTTAAAGTACTTTGTACTTTTGTTATGTTTTTTCCATTGACAAAAAGATAAAGGGAATAAAATGCTTAGATTCAACTCTTTATATACATGTATTGCCAATAGTGAAAGGTGGTCTAGTAAATGCTCAACTCTGTCCATCATTCAGCCCGTCTGTACTGTAGTAAACTTTCTTAAAAAGTTTTATTGACTTTTCTGAAAGGGAATGGTTTTATATTTAGTCTGCAGCTTGATAATGTAAAGTTGTAGCATGTAAGAAATGTTTACATCTGTCTTGCAACCACTTCCTGTTTGCTGATACTTTGAAATTTTGCAGTACTCATTGAATATTGTACAAGGAAAATTCTATAGTAATTGTAATGCTAAATAAATTGTTATATTCAAACATTTTCAACCCTTAACATTAAATCAATGACAGTACTTTATTCAAGTCCATTTGTACATAGTACGGAAAGCATCTGAGCATTGAATTTCTAATAATTGTTTAAACTTTTTTTTTTGTAAATTGTATTTTTTTTCAAACATTTTGGGCTATGTACTTGCTTTGAATATACATGTATAGGCCTTCATGATATTTTGCCAAAAATTACATGTTTTTATAATTTGCCTAAGGTTTTTTTTATTTATGAAAAAAGTCTGAATAAATTTCTACATTTTAACCATTTGTGTCAAACTGTTTGTTATCTGTATCAAAAACTCTCAAAATGATCAATTTTTCTACACCATGACAAAATGTCCCTCACCCTGTATAAAGAGGAATTAAATTGTGAGTAATTGTGGTATGAAAGTCATAATATGGAAAAAGACCCATAACTCTCATAAATATGGTCAATTCAAAATGATGGTATAATAAGGTCAACTATACATAACAGCAAACAATCCTACTAAGTATGATAATTTTCTGTCAGATGGTCTTAAGAGGAGTGGATTTCACAAGGTGACACTATTGCAATACTCCAAAAAAATAGTCATAGTCCCATAACTCCCTTAAAATGTTTGGATCAAAATGATGGTAAAATATGGTCAACTACAATTCTGTTAAGAATGAGAGCTTTCTGCAAAATGATCTCAGAGGAGATGGTTTCACAAGATGCCTTTTTTTTTACAATACTAATAAATGGCCAAAGACCTATAACTTCCATAAAAAAGGTCAAATCAAAATTGCAGTATAATATGGTCAATTACGTATACACACAATGGCAACCAATCCTACCAAGAAAGAGGTTTCTGTAAAATGGTCTGAGAGTAGTTGCTTTAACAAGGTGCTGATGTTACAACATTTCAACAAATTGTCAAAGTTCCATAACTCCGATGAAAATGGTCAAATCAAAATGGCGGTATAAAATGAACACCTACACATGATAGCAAACAATAGTACAATGTATAGGAACTTTCTGTCATATGATCTCCGATGAGATTGTGTTCACAGTGTGTTATTATCACAATACTTTCAAAATTAGCCATAGTCCCATAACTCCTGTGAAAATCGTTGAATAAAAATAACGATATAATATGGTCAACTACACATGATGGCAATCAATCCTACCAAGTATGAGAGCTTTCTGTACACATGACTCCAAGGAGTTGCGTTCACAAGCTATTATTGTAACAATACAGAAACAAGTGGTCAAAAGTTCCATAACTCCTTAAAATAAAAATCCAAATCATACTGAAGCTATGAAGATGTTTCTTATTTGTGAAAGGCTCATAAACATGTGATTTGAATTAACTCTTTTTGTGTGATCTCAATCCGTATAATTTTTGGTGCTGATGTTTAGTCTATTAAGCATTTTGTCATGTTTTAAAGTAGAATCAATTTTAATTATCTGTGGGGTATATGTCAATGCCAGTAAAAAAAATGAAATGTCTGGGATCAATGAATATACGATCTTTAACTAAAATTTAATCAAAATATGTAGTCATTAAATTTATTGGAGATTTCCAGTGACGAAATTAAGAGGAGGATAACAACACCATGACATAATAAAAAAAATCGATGAAAAGTTTCCCTTGACTTTGGACAGGCACACGAACATGTGGATTTGTCAAAATTAATTCAACAACCTTTAAATTTTTGTATGCCTATTGGAAATCAGATTTTTTTTTGTATTCATCGAATTTGCTGTCCCAGTAATACAAGACCTTATGATCTCTTGGTTTTATTTTCCGATATTCTGCTGGTTTATAGCTTGTCGATCTAAAGCTTGTCAATCATAGAAGGCTGAACGGTGATCTCTACTAGATGTGTGTTTTTTTTTCAGGAATGTATATTTCCAAGGGTGCTGTTACATTGGCATTGACCTCCACTTCTGCATTTCTCTGTACATAGGCATTCGTTATACTTGACTACATTGGAATAGAAATACTCATTTTGAGTCCACTTACATTTAAAATCGACTACGCTGGCATGGGGTCTCTTCTCTGCTGTGTTCGTTCGCCGACCTAGCATTTAACAGCTGAACCAATTCTTCCACGAACTGTTGAATTTGGACATGCAAAATAATTAAAATAACTTGTTTTTACACCTTCAGTTCATGACAATTAAAAAAGTAAGAGCGAAATGGTAACAGTATGATTAACGATCTCGGGTCTTGGAAACCGACGTTTA